AAAGCCTGCCCTTAAGCATGGCACAACGCGATGTCACCCATAAATACAGATAAAAATTTGCTCCATGTAGGGGGTCAAGCGGTGAAACGGTCACGGTGAAGATGACCAGTGCGAAACGCCGCAAGTGACACGGCAAGGGTGAACACGAGCGCCACAAATGGCGTAGACAAAGTGTGGCGGGAAGAGGTGCGAGACGGGTGAATTCCCCCCCCCCCCCCAAGCTTCGTGGGAGAGAAGAAGCTTGCCTACCAAAATTTTTTTCAAATTTGCAGGTTGGTACATACACGCAACTAGCATGCACGGAGATGTATGGTTTAACCCCCTCCCGCACCCCCTAAGTTCTGACTACGTTATTGCAACTATAGAGTCGATTTATCGACCTTATAGCTTTATGTAGCTTCATGTCGAAAGATGCGTGTGTCGAGGCCGCTTCACCGGCGAGTTTCACACTACCGCATGAAACTCTATGCGTTGCACAATCCACTTGCAACTCTACTCAGCGCAATGGCGACATTGACGCAGCTATTTGGCTTATCAGCTGCGGCCGTTCACTGCATAGCTGCATTTCACTGCACAGCTGTTACGCTCGAAGTTTGGCGTGTGTCGTTATGGAGAAAATCATTATCGTCGTCAGCCCGGAACATGTTCTATTCGTCCTCTTCTTCATCGCCTGCTCCCGCTTCACTCCCAGAACACGTGCGCCGATTTGTCCGGCGTGGGATTAAACTTTGATGGCTGAAAGCACGAGTACACAAAGATAGCCGAACAGACTGACAATGGAGTATGTTTGCACACACCCACGGAGGGGGGGGGGGGGGGGGGGTGGATCGGCCAAAAACCGGGCAGTTCAAACAAAACGACTTTTTTTGTTAGAACTACCCGATTCTGAATAATAAAAGAGGAGAAACTCTTGGCGAAGAAAGATTATTGACGAGGTGAGATTCGAACCCGCGATTTGAAGGCGCGCGAGCGTCGAAGCCAAAGAAAGAGAGAGGAGGAGAGAGAATGAGAGAAATGTGGGCGAGAGAGAAGCACAGCGATAAAGAAATGAAAAAAAAAACACATCTAGAATGAAAAACATGAAGCATTCAAGGGGTGGGAGAGAGAAGCAGCTCTGGTGCGACCGAGACTTGCACGAGTGCAAGCTGCGCTAAATTTATAAAAACAACCCTTACGTACGTAGCTAAATTAATATACTGTAAAGAAAAATAAATCTGGCCATCTTTTCCCCAGCTTCTGCGACACATGGTTGATCTGCGCGGTGATCGTGGCTGGCAGCGATCACATGGGAATCTCACGTCGCACAAGGCCCGTCACAGAGGGGTACTCTAGTGAACGCCTTGGACACTTTAACCTTCAACCTAATTCTCGCACTACGGCCCCATCGGCCGCCATGGCGAATAATAGAAACCACGACTTTCGAGCAGCGCGGTGAGAAGCGCGTGCTCCACAGTACTGGCACTGCCCACTTATTTTAGGGTCATAATATTTTAGTATGGCTGGACAGAGCAGCGTATTTGTCTGTAGGCGCCGCAGGATGCGCTCCTCCGTTTTCGAGAGTCCCTTCGCTGGTGCGGGATACAAGCGGCGTTGCTCAATGTAGTATTCTTTGATTTCTCGAAACCGTGTTAAAGGTGTGGGACGTTCAGGTCTATCAGGGGAACGGGGAGCTTCCCGGGAAGTAAGCACGCGGGCCGCTGCATGTGCAGCCTCGTTACCCTGTAGACCCTGATGTCCCGGAGTCCATATAAGACGTTTTGGGGTAGGATCGCGGTTCCTGATGCTGAATTTTAAAAGTCTATTAGCCAATGGAGAGATTTCTCCAGCAAGATAGCTCTCGCAGGCTCTTCGAGAGTCCGTAACTATTTGTTTTGAGTTTGGATGGGATACTGCCAGTGCAATGGCCACCTCCTCCGCCTTACTTGAGCTTGTGGCTTTGAAAGTGAGGCACTCTTAAACCCTTCAACCTAATTCTCGCACTACGGCCCCATCGGCCGCCATGGCAGAGAATAGAAGCCACGACTTTCGAACAGCGCGGTGAGAAGCGCGTGCTGAGAAATCGCGCTTACGGCAAGCTAACGCACCGTCGCCTATCAAGTTCCCAGCTGGGACAACGCCATGATTGATACCATCAAATCTCTGCAAGTAAGGTTTATTTAGAGAACAGTCACGAAGAACGAAGCAACATAATTAAGATCGTACATCACGCAATATCAAAAAGTGATTCGCAGCAGGCCTTAATATCGATGACTCGGCATGTGCCACTTTCGGTATCGGATCTCACACGTTCACTACTGCGTCGCCGACGTACAACTGCTGAGGCGACGAGAGAAGGCATATCCGAAATCGCCTCAAGACTTGCGGCAATCATCTGCCAGCGTTCTTGGAACACTTTGACATTGAACCGATACAACTGCTTACACAGTTGAACCTAATAACATTCGGAGGTTTACGTCCCAAAACCACGACATCATTATGCGAGACGCCGTAGTGAAGGGGCCCGGAAATTTCGACCATCCCGTGTACACTACCGTTACAGTGCACTACCCTATCGCCTCCTAAACTGGTAGGTGTTCTGTGGCCTCCTCCATCGAAATGCGACCACCGAGGCAGACACTCTCGAACCTAGCGATTTCCCGAACGGCGAGTGTATTCCTTCAGCGGCGTCGGGGCCTGTGGCGCAACGGATAACGCGTCTGACTACGGATCAGAAGATTCTATTTCCTTCAGCGGCGACTTCCAGAGCGATAGCGAGGTTTGTCTAGGTACACTTCTACAAAGCTAGCGACTTCACAGGGAGACTTGAGTACCATTAGGGAAATAGCAATGCGTGTCAAAACTTGTTGGGCATGTTGGTAGCTTGTCATACTGCAAGTGATTTAGCATTACTGTAGTTGGGATATAACAGTCTACCTATATACCGCGAATTTTTAAAAACTGCCCTAAGAACACGGGGAACAGGCGAACATTCAAAGTGAAGTCCGCCCTGCGCATTTCTCGCAGTTAAAATGGCGGCAAGTTCATGTCGGCTAGCCCCAGTGACCCCCCAAAAAGGCGATCCTAAAGCGAGCTCCTTTAGTGCATAGGCGTGTGCGCGGTCCAGAATTTTACAAAATTCACTGCAGCGAAATTTGCAAGATTTTCAGGCCACGCCATTTCGCCGTAGCGAAATGGCGCGATTTCGCAATGCTTGCATGCACGCAATGACGACGAAAGGCGTACATACAGATGTTCGCAGCAGGGTACGCATGAGGACTGGTTAGTTTGCGATTTCCAGTAAAAACAACAGCGCTAAAAATTCCACACGAAGAAATTATAGTGGTGAGTATATACTCTGACTGAAAGAATAAAACGGATTTGGTTGTCAATCGGCGCCGTGGTTTATGCCCTTTATTCAGGAGCGTTTCAGGTTTGTGCCCTTTCTGCTGGCGCCAGGCCTCGCGCGAGCACACGGTATAGGGGGGGAGGGGGCTGAAAAATTTCGCATGCCCCCCCCCCCCCCCCATTCTCGTGAGCAAGCAAAGCCAAAACAAAATGCATATGCTCCCCACCCTCTCTGCCCCCCTAAAAAAATCCCCCCTCCCCACCTAGTAAAAAAAAAAAAAAATCCTTGCACCACCCCTGCCTTTCCTCGTGCAGCCTATTCAATTCAGAGCTGTGTACTCGAAATGCACTCACTCTTTACAAGTGACTGCATTACTGTAGTGCTGTCACTTCACTTATGATATAATGCATCTTTACAACACTATGCGAGAGAAACATTGCACAAGGCCAGAGTCTACTCAAAAATACAATTTATTACTCGTTCATAGGCAAGATGGAAAGCAGCCCTGCAAATAACACAGTAGTGAACAAACACAAAATCTCACACGCACTGTTCAAATAAGCTTAATTCATGAAGAGTGAAGGGTTGTGGCCTGTGAAACTGTGCAGGGGCTTATTCCCTTTAGCAGGGATAAGAACAAACAAGAGAAGCTAAAAATAAACAGTAACTTACGACACATTGGTGCATGCAAGGTTCTGTGGAGAATAAAATGGCAAAAGGCCTGCGTTTTTCACGACTAGACAAGTTCACCACGCAGTTCATCAGTCTGTCTGCATCTTTAAAGACAGCGAGAAAGACGAAAATGAACGGGAACTTTTGACAGCAAATGAAAGTGTAGAACGCACTTTGGGCACACCACAGGGGACCTAAGAGGCTAGCATGAAATCCAATAACGAAGGACACTTCAAATCCAAGGCAAGGGCACAAAAAATCCATCAGTGAAAAAATAGCAAGTGATGCCCACACATTAAAGGGTGGATTCCACTTCTCAGAAAATGTTATTCTGTACACTGGGGACATTTTGCAAACATGTCACCAACAATGTGTTATTGACACTAGTCCTATTTGGGGAAATATTTGGGGGGAAAAAAGCTAAAAAAAAATGTTGGGAATGACAGTTGTCATATGCTTGCAAAGTCTGAATGACTGCTCTGGATCTGTGTTTCCTGTTGACTCTTGCAGACAATAACAGTCCTGTGCCTTTACACCATGACGGGTATGGACGGAATTGCACACTGTGGGCAATTTAAAAAATGCTCACAGATCGAGACCGGGAAAAAAAAAGTGCGAGTTATAAAAAGAGTGGTCCCATCACTACGACAATAATGGTGTTTGATGTTTACCCCCACGTTCAGTTTGCATCAAGATTGGATTCTGCACGAACACTGCAACTGCAACAAAGCCATTGTAACCCTTAATCAACAAAACCTGTGTGCAGATGCACACATTTGGAATTGCCTTAATTAAATTTTAAGAAGTTCAACCTAGTACACTAGAGATTATGGCAAGCAAAAATTCCACGTAAAAGGAACACTAGAAAAAAAACAATCTTAATATAACCCATTAATAGAGCATAGTAATTATGCAGCCATGGCATGCAGCAAAACCGTCAACAAGCATGGCAAACACAACAGAGCACATCTACAACAAATAAATTATTTTGCGTAAGAGTTTAAGATCCTAGTTGCACCATTTTGTTTACCGATCGTGAAGCCTACAACACCACATGCAATCTTAAAAGCAAAAAAAGGTACAGTCCCAACTTGAAATTAAACGAGCTGTAAAGGCTGCAAAAACAAAACCCATACTCCAAGAGCAGGTGGCCAATAAAATTGTTATGCAAACTGCACGCCAAGAAGCAATTAAGTGGTTAGAAGCAATTAAGTGGTCCACAAAAGTAAATAGATAGGCCCCATGGGCCCAGCTTCAGAGGCGAAATTAGTCCCAACACACATCCTCTGTCTCTTTGGAATGGCAGTGTGTTGTTTAACTGTTCTAGCACACAAGTGGAAGAGTTTTACACCTTGCGACCACCGCGGACATGGTGCCAAGCAAGAGGAACATGACACGCAGTATCAGGCCTGAATTTCTTGCTACTATGCATTTGGAATGGCGGTCCCTTATTGTACAAATGACCTGCTAACAGCTTATGTGCATTTTTTTAGGGAGTAATATTAACACCTTTGCTGACTGGATAAAGGAAAAGGGGGAGGAGAAGGCAGGAGGTGTTAACAGTGTGCTCTAGTTCAAACAGTTCATGTGCTGCATTCAGGTACAATAAAGTGGAGTAAAGGCATCTGTATCAACAGCGCACGGTTCCCTCATTGGCACTGCACCCATTATGGAGCAACACATACTGCACCGGCCATGCTTGGCAACGGCCGATGCCAACAATAATCTGCAACACCTCAAACGAAGCACAGCCGGACTGCACTCAACCAGTCATGTGAACACCGCTTTCAGTTTACACCAGTGGCTAGACGAGCGCACTCTATACCACACACTACCCATTCATGCCTGTCGCATAACATTGTAGCACAAAGCACTAAACAGGTGTAACAGTCACGCCCTCTTGTTGACACAACAATCGAGCTGATCACTACGACACACTGCTGGCGAATGCATCTTTCAAAGTGGTCAGCGAAGAATACGATACGAGAGAAAGTTTCGTGGGCAGAAGGGGCATAGAGAACAATCACTGCTGCATACTGATGCATATGGTGTGAAAAATGCACGTTGCAGAGTGTGGAAGACTTCAGCACTGGGCCACGATTAAAGAGACGAGTCCCAGATGGGTCTGGCTGACCAGACATAATTGCCGCCATCCATCATGCCCAATGTGTGGTCAAGTATGTCCATGTTGAAAACACCAAGAGGATATCAACACAAAATGAGCATTTGCACAGATAATTTTGACCACGAAACAGACTTGTTAAAAATGGGCAGAGCTCGGCCTGAAAATACCTTGCTATCCACTTTGCACCAGATGCTCCTGCTTGTTAGTCCGAGGTGCATTTTAGATCATTGCTAACAGCACTTCATGTCTACTGGTGTGCAGTAAAATATGCACAAACGGCACACAGGCTACCTCAGTTTTGCTGTAGATTGACTGCAGCCCACAAAAAATGGCAAGTAGTTGTCTGTTGTCCATTTTCAACCAGATGTGTTCTCCACTACATTAGGGCTACGAAAACGCATTCAAGGACAAGATATGTGAAATTGGCTTGGTGGTAGCAATGATATCGTTGCCACTCAATAACGTGACACACCTGGCTGAAAGCGAACGAAATGGTGCCAGTTGATCAGGAGCCTAAGTGCACGCCCATGACTGTGGTGAAAGGACAGGAGACCGTACTATCGCTGGCATTTGAATCCGCAAAAGAGTTCTATGGTGAACACTGTACAGGTTTGAAGGAACGCTGAACACCGGTAAAACTGAGGTACTTTCAAAACTCCAACCACTGACGCAAATACGTCGATGCTGCTGTGTCACCACCACAGGAAGGCACGCTATGCCCGTATGATGATGTGGTTCACGGTGACCAGCGTCACGCAGGCCACTGCCCACACCAGCACAAAGATAAGCCAAGCACCGTGGCGGAACGGCGAGGCATGTTGGTTTTCGACGCCGAGCCCCAGTGCCTCTAGCACCTGCTTCCTTGCCTGGTGCACCAGTGCCACTGGTATGATGTACTGAATGAAGGCACCGGCGTAGGAACCGGTGAAGCCAACGAGAAACTCTACGCTCTCGGTGGCTAATGCAACGGCAATGGGCGGAAGCAAGGCCAGCAATGGGAAGAAGAAGCGCTCTACAAGCACCTATAAAAAAGTGGATAATTTCCAAGACTTATGACAGAATATTCATGAACATATCTGTCAAGCACACAAGAAGCGCACTTGCTTTACAAAACTGCTCAATAACAATGTTTCAATTATGAACTCTGTCATCCTTTCATAATTATTTGCTCGACACATTTGCAAGTAAAACTTGTTTTGGGACTTCATTACATTCCCCATCATTACATTACATTCCCCATCACTGCTTTTCTAATAGAGAACGAAATTGAGGTCAAAGTTTAGTTCTTAAATTTCATACACCCAAGTTCTTGCACATGCAGGTCTATATGATGCCATGAATTTAAAGGTTTTTTTTTTTTTCCTTCATGTTTTGGCCACATTGGGCCAGCGAAACTTCCTGCAACTGCAACTTGGTACGTTAAGTCTCTGCCATTTTTTGAGGACATTGCATTTCATTCCAACTAACCGAGAACTTGGTAGGGCCGAGTAAATGACCTCAAAACAAAACAACATCACAGCGAGTTCGTGCGAGAACTTGTCTTCACCAGAATTAGTTTAGTACGTTCTCTTGCTTACAACATATCTTTTCGCGGCCAGGGCGGTACTTTCGGTACATTCAAACCTCGACATAACGAACTCAGATATAACGAAATATTGGCTATAACGAAGTAAATGAAGAAGTCTTGCAATAATGTTAGAATTAGGCCTTTATAACAAATTTTCGTAAAAAATGAACTTATTTTCATGCAAGATGAAATCATTTTAACGAAGTTTGAGTGTATTGTGAAAGGGCAATTCACCAATACCGGAGAAGCCGTTTTTCTCTTTAGTGTTTTTATGAAGGAAGAGGCACCCACCTGGTTGCAAGACTGTGGCGGCGGCGCTGTATTGCTCTGGTTGGAACTGCCCGATGACGTTAAGCTTCGGGATCTGGATCCCTGCTGGCTGGATTCCTCGCGTAGAAAGAGGGAGCGCAGGTTGTTGCGCAGCGTGATGGCAATAATGGGAAAGTTGGTGCTCAGTGTGAACACTGGGAAGAGAGAGAGGAAGTACTGGAGCACTGGAATGCTCGGAATGATGGAGCTCCCAGTGTCACTGTATGGCTGCATATTAGCCAAAAAAAAAAAAAAAAAAACGATATCAGTTCCAAGTCGAAATAGAACCCATAGCCGTAACAACCCACTATTTCAAAAACTTCAGAAAGTGTAGTACACAAAAACACACATTGTTGCCATAATGTCAAAGCTACACATGCAATGTTAAAAGGGCCAGTAAACAACCCTGATGTCCAAAAATTTTATGAAGATATATGTGCACTTTTGCTCTGTAGACATGCTGCCAAGGATATTTTGTGAATACAAGCTATATTAAAGAAGTTACAGGGTTAGAACATCGGTTTCAGCCGGTTACAAATTTTTGTGCAGTCTCGCCACCATTCTGCCACACAGGGAGCAGAGGGCATAGCCCTTTGTCTTGAATGGTTCCAACCAATTAATTGACGAGCTGCGTGCTACGTCAAGTCGCCGATCGGCAACTTTGTGTCACTGCGTGTGAAAGGAGGATTGGTCAAGAGTAGGAAAGGAGTGCAGGAATTGTATTTCGAAAGTGAAGGCCCTGCGCGGTGTGCAGCGCTGCAATACTAGGCAAACGTGATCGCTGCAGTCTGCCCTACGAATCGCCGAGCTTCTTCTGGGGGTGTAGACGAAAAGTCTGAGGTTGTTCACTGGCCCTTCAAGGCAGTATTCAAAACGTTGTAGCAACGTGGAGCCAGCAATGAGCACTACTATGTAGCCAGTGTTCGTAGGCAATGCTTGCCAGAAGATGAGCGAACAAAAAATAACAATGATGTCAACAATAAAATTAATATTCCGATTAAAACTATGATCTTTATGGTTGAAAACATTTGCACACCTAAAATGAGTGAGAGGGTAAATTAATTGCACTGAAAGACAGCGCCAAGTAGGTAGCATATCCACACCTCCATTTTTCATTGTACGTCCGTGAGCAAAAGTATACGAACCGTTTGCGTCCGTACACTTCTACCGTTCGTGCCGTCCAGCGGCGAGCCGTTTACCGTCGAGAGAATTTCTTCGATGAATTCCGTCAGAGTAATGCTTTCGAGAGATATTCATCGGAGACTGTTTCATCAGCAGACAGCTCGAGTCTTTACAGAGGTGTCGAGTTTCTTTGCGATTAGATTCTTCTTTGTGCCTCGTTTGCTCTGCTGCTCTTCTGCCTGATATGTGTGCGTATTCCTTTAAATGAAGTTTAGTTGCGAGTTCAGCGCCTTGTCGTCTCTTCTTCCGTCTCCGTCTGTTCACTTGCACTGCTTTTACATCCAAGCATGAACCACCGAATAGCCCAATTTTCGTTTCTAGGACATCTCGTCAATAAACGGCACAAACAGGGAATTCGGCATGCACTCCCGTGGTTCATACACTTTTGCTAATGGGTGTACATTCCACTAAAGCAGTGACCAGTGAAGTGATGACCAGTAAACTTAGACAACTTATTTGATACCTCCAGGCACACAAACGTTTACCAGAGTTCATGAGGCTAAACTTGGTTTTCCCCAACACTAGCAGCAAGATGGCCTTGTAGCTTTTTGCAGACACTAAAAAAAAAAGCTGCCAACAAGGTTACAGACTCTGTAGATGCGAGTTCGATTCCAGCTGCAGTGGTCACATTTTCATTAGAAACGAAATGTTAGAGGCTGATGTACTTTAATTTATGTGCTTGTGAAACCTTTTGCAACCGAAGAGAAAGAAAAAAAAAGTGACATAATGAGAATATTTTTCGCTCACTCTGTAAATCTTTTCCTTTCAAATAAAACTGTAGTTATTTCAATGAAATAACAATTCAATATTTTTTCTAATTGTGTAACAGAGGCAGCAATGCAATGAAAGAAGAGGAACAGGCGAAGGAATAAATTTTATGAAAAAAAAAACAAGGACAAGTTGTAGTGTACACGTATCCTGCAGGAGTACAGCCAATAGTGCAAGTTTGGTCTTAGTGAGCAAGAGGGCTGCTTCCACCAACGCTTCGCATAACTAATGCCGCTGCACACGTGTTCAGTACACACACTGTACACAAGTACTGTTCTCAAACAAGGCGCAACACTTTATTGCCTGCGGCAGCACCAAAAACGCAGTACAGCCCCTGTTGCTAAATGCGGTGGGAAATCAAAAGAGGATTATCTACTCTTCGAGCGAAAGTACAACACAAAGTGTGCCGCGAGCACATCTTCGTAGGCACGAAGGATTCACGGTGACACGCCGCTGAGGGAAATGGGCCCACACGAATATGCTGCGCCCTCTCACAATCAAGGACAACAGGGCCTGATCGCTTCGAGTGAGGGCAAACTCCGGTCGCGTTGGCTTCGAGAAGTACGAGTCGGCTTAGTACGACCCCCGCGCAAAATGCCGCACAGTTCTTCGGCCTAGCGCTCGGAAATGGCACCAAAAGGTAGGCATTCGCCGTGCGACACAAGGTGCCAGTTGACGAGTCTGAGCAAGCTCCAAACAAAGGGAGCCGACAGACGGGAAAGGAAATGCTTGCTAACTTTTGTTGTTCGTAGAGTTTCCGGCTGACTCCCGACATGCGTGCGGGCGCGCGAAACGTCCCAGGAGATTTGAGCGCAGCGCCATTGTAGACTTCCGCTACAGGGTGAGAGGGGTTAACATAACTCCCGCTCTCCCAGCTCCAACAGACCAGAGAGGAGGGAAATGTCATGATAGGACACGAGACCATCACAAATAGGCGACAAAGGCCGCTCGATGGTGATGGACCAGCCTTCATTCCCACATTATGGAGCCATCTTGCATCGAAGACACAACTACAGTGAATGCAGTCATCATTGGGTCCACATGTGACCTAGTACAGTTGTCAACGATCACGGTAGGGTTATTAAAGAACTCCAAGAAGTCGTAACTACTCCGAGCACTCTGCTACGACATCTCTAGCAGCACAAGTTGCTTTGGCACATTAAAACCCACATGTCAAACCAAGCCCACCTGGAAGTCGAGGGTGTACATGTCGTGCAGCTCAGGAAACGTGAAGATGCCAGTGAAGCTGAGCAGAGTGTAGAAGCCCAGGATGAGGGTGTAGTCGGCCGCCAGCAGCGGGAAAAGGTGTCGCTTCTCTCTCCACGGAGTCACAAGCGAGGGCAGCGAGTGATGGCACATGAACGAGTAGACGCACACGCCAAACAGGTTGGGCAGTCCCGTGGGCACTGCCATGGCTGGGTGGCCCTGACCCTTGCCCTGGCCCAGGGCCAGAGCACACAGCAGGATCATCGAGACGAACGCTGTTGCACGTAGAAAAGAGGGGAGTACACATTTATTGACACATGGAAACTGACGAGAACATGCTGTAAAGTTTCAAGCAAGTGCCTCCTCTAATTTAACTAATTTCACACTTTGTGAACCCTCTGGTAAATGTGTCATGCCGATTTCTGTGATTGTTTTTTTGTAAAAGTAGTCCTGTAAAACTATCTATTGGATGCTTCAAAATACTTTTGTGGAAGCTCAATTGAACATTAAAAAATAAAACACTAGCATTATAGCTTGAAACAGGCCCTTGTGAATATGCTCGTGAAAAAATCTTGATAAATTTACCCTTCAATTGTTATTCAGGGAACGACAGTAATAGTCTATGAAATGTTGTATCTCGCGAAATAAAATGCTTTTCTCTTAACAGATTTCAATTTTATTAAGACAAACTATGTCTGCCCATCAAGTGTCATCAGTTTGCTCCTGTAACTTACGAAATTTTCATTGAAGTGACCTCCCCAGGCAAGACAACGGGTCATCGACATGGTCAGTTTCACAAGAGTCTACAGGATTCTGCAGCCTGTACTGTGTGGATGCCATCTCACCGCCTTCTCATAATGCATATAAAACTTAAATTAAAAGAAATATCAACACCACATGGTAGATACTTACAAAAATATACCTGTTGGTAAAAACAAAAGAAAGTATGACATGCCATTGATCATAAAGCATTGTAGCTACGACACCAGTCTTTTTACTTTTTGCAAAGCTTCAGTCACAACAATTTTTTGTCGTACACTCTGTTGCGAAGTGACTGTATTGTGCGCTAAGCAATTCATGGCAATCTTAAAGTTCTGTTCTGCATAGCCAAGCCGACGGTGCATATGTATGACACAGGGGCAAGAGGTTGCAATGCCTTTGCTGGATACAGCAAAAACTAAAAAAAAAAAAAAAACAGGGGAATTGTTTTCTCACGATATCACACTGATCGAGATATCACTGAAGCACATTTTCAATGCTTAAACATGATGAAGAGCACTTTAAAGAAATGCTAAAGGTGAATACGGAAATTTTAGTCTGCCTTTATAGTTTCTGGGGCAAAGGTAAAACTACAAAAGGAAAAAAAAAAAAAAAAGGCCGAGTGAGGATGACACCTCAACTCAAATTAATGCAAGACACTTAATGCTAAAAATATCATGACGGAGGGGGTTGACATTCAATGAGACATGTCAACAAACATGGTGAAAGAAACTAAAAATTCAAAAATAGAAGCACAGCAGCAAATGCTTCTGCTAATCGGTTCGTGCTGCTTTATACGAGCGAGTGAAAAAAGGTGCTCACCAATCCAGCGCATCAGGGTCGTGAATATCTGCAAGTACTTTGTCTTTTGCATGTTGAAGAAGGTGAACGGCCCGACCATACAGAGGAACATCAACTGAGGAGACATGCACAACAGGACAAGTCGGTTGGCCTGTCGAGCCTCGCAAACAGATTTGAACAGCTCTAGTGAACAAGTGTTCATTCTTGGGCAGCGCACAACAAACAATACACAAGAAGGAAATGGGACAAAAAAGGGGCTCGTCTCGTTTTCTTTTCAAGCATTGACTGTTATGTGGTATCCCCAAAGGATGGGTCACTACCAACCCTCCCGCCAGAATGAGTGCTGTGAGCAAGTAACTTTGAAATGACCACCAGAAGAGCTTTAAACAGCAATTTGTGCATGGTTCGATCAATTAGTGAAACTAACGCTCCAAAAGACACCCTGCTATTGTCTACACAGGGCAACTTGAATCGCATGTGGCTCAAATCTAAGAAAGTTGAGCACAAACAGGTGTCCAAGGCACAACTCCTCTACAATTACGCACGTGTGCTCTGCGAAAAACATTGCGTCCTTCATGGAATTAGCCACTGTATGTTTTGGAAGCGTAGAGTTGGCCAACAACTAATTTTAAGAGATGTGCTCAAGCCACACAATACGTACATACTTTTTCTGTGAATTCATGTACAACTTCTGGAACCAACCTCTAAAAAGAGCATTGCTGTGCTTTGCCCAAAACTAGAATGCACTAGTGTGCTGAAATGGACGCTCCACGACAGATTTTGAAGGAGACTGCTAAATGTCATGATCAACCGAAAAACGGCATTGAACATAGCGGACAGACTGGCACAAAGCTTCCTGCAGGTTTCATGCACTGTGGAAATCAAGTTGCACCTTTTGTTTCGTCCTTTGGGCCAAGTGCTACGATATGGATCAACACATTTTTGTAAATTCAGTAGTGTGCCCATCAAGGGCTAACCGTGCACTGACTATCCTGGTGTGCAAAGGGCAGCGTGCGGTCCAATGTAATGCTGGCATTTGCATTCACTAAAGATGTAGCATTTATTGAATCAAAATGCAGGCAGCAAAGGCTGGCGTGATGCCGCCACAACTATCAACGCTAGAGCATAGCCTGTTAAGTCACAGCAATGCTTGCACACTTGCAGTGGAGTACTCTTGCAGTGGAGTACACTTGCAGTGGAACACACTTGCAGTGGAGTACACTTGCAATGCTTGTTACACTCTTAAGAAACAGACAGCTGATATTGTGACCACAATTGATGTTAAATAAGTGGCAAACAACTATTCTGCTATACTGTAGTGCGATGCAATTCTCTCCCACAAAGCCACAAAATCCATAAGCCCGACCTTACACAGCAAGAAAAGAAAAATTTGTACCAAAAATATCCTGTAGGCATTCCCACGAGTGAGGGAGTAGTTTGCCCAGCATGGCAAGTCATTTGAAAGGGTTCCATTCGTGAGATTGGACATGGTAGAGTTCTCCACTGCTGTCGCTGGTAGCTGGCTACAAGGAGAACGGGACAGAAATTTCATTACAGAGTACCATTAGACTTCTGCATAAGCATGCACCAAACATTTGGACTTCACTAACAATGCAGTTAGCACAGAAAGAGTAAAAAGAAATTATTACACTGTTATCTAGTTGCAGCCCTAATAAGCTCAATTTACTTGAGTTAATATGAAGAGGCGACAAATATAAACAGCAGCCAGTTAGGAAACAAACATTTAGTTGTGAAATATTTTGACCATACATCTTAATTAGTTGTGCTTTCAAGAAACTTATATTGAAAACAATGTTTTTACACCTACTTTACAGTTAATTTAGAGTGAAAAGGTGGAAGATATTTAAATGGTTTCACACATCCCCTTGTGCTAGGATCCATCCTTTTTGCATGATTAGCATAGATGTATATTTTACGACCCACTACATAAATGCTGGGCAGTCACAGGGGAGAATAAAGATGCTATTACAAAACTCGCCATAGTCGGAGACCACAAACCAATTTTGACTGCCAGAGTTTCCTTAACCTACACTTTAATCTAGGCACACTGGTGTTCTTTGTGATCTAGCAGCATCAAAATGCAGCTGATATGGCCGGCCATTGAACCAGTCCCCTCAAATTTAGCAACGCAACACCTTGGGTGCTAAGCTAACAAAAGGAGTTAGAGGGGGATGCGGGGAAGAGAGGGGGGTTTTGATTCACAATAAAGAGGAACAGTTAATTTGTACTCGCACCAATGCATAACTTTGACACATGAATGCCACAGAACAGAATGAATGTAACTGTAGGGTATGTCTATATTAAATAAATATTGCATGTACACGAGTCAGTGTTAAATAATAGTCAGTCCCAAAAGTGCTATGCCAGTGAGAGTCTTTCATAACTGGTGAATATGTGCAAGGAAGCCTTGCTCTGCCTGCTCTTCTACTACGTCTTTCTTCTTTAATGTTTGAAAAGAAGCTTGGACAGTGCTTGATACTACGCCATTGGGTATGTTCCGATTTTCCTCCTTGTAGAAGTACACGTATTTTATTCTGTACTGCAATGGAGTCGCCACAGTTATACAGTAACAGATCTCCTTTTATTGAGAGTCTTGAACAATATTGCTGCTTAAATGGAACGAATTGCATTGCCACGATTGCCTTCATACTTGCCTCTACACCCCTGTTAATCTCTCGGGAAACTGCAGTCCTGTTAAATGGAACACGTTATCCTGGTCGCTTGAGGTTCCGTCTAACGTGTCTAACGTACATTCTTCAAAGAAAGTGGAACAAAAAAATAAGAGCAAAAAACCTGAAAAGAGTGCAAAGACGGGAGGAAGGCAGGCGAGACAAGGACGCGCGTCGACAGCACACTGAAATTTTTATTCACATAACAAGAAACATGAAGACACATGAAAGCGCCAGTTCTTATGTCTCTTTTTTTCACCCCATCTTTGCACTCTTTTTTCAAGTTTAAAGTTATCTACCAACTAGCCTGCCTTTTGCCTCTTTTCCAGGAAGGAGGAAGTCTTGACGCTAAAGTTTGCCATTAGCCTTTCATGAAACTGAACAGTGCACACACAGTGCAGGCGAACTTGTAAAAGCAGCTTTCGGAAAAAAAAAACAGAAGAAAGAAGAAGAAATGATGAGCAGCTTACCATGCTACGTCCCGAACAGACTTCGAAATAGCCGCGCCGTATATGGCAAGGTCTCCATACAGGTACACAGCGATGCAGATATAGAAGAGATTCACGCCAACTGCAGAAGAGAAACGACACGAAATGACACAAGCTTTCCTCTCGTGTTTTGAAGTACCCATTTCAGCAAGTTGGTAAAAGTGTTATACATCATAGGACATACAGCACAGGATGGGTTCACACAAAAGCAGCATAAGTATCATACTGACACCCCATACCTTACGTGCTAGGAGAGATGCGAGACTTTCAAAAATTTTCTTTATTACTTGGGTCAACTAAATGAAGTTTAGCACTTACTCTTTTTTTTTTTTCTACCGACTCCAAATATACGAGTTTATTTCTATCATCTGCATTAGAGCAAATGATATCCAGTTTCTTCCCCGCTTCCACGCTTTCCCCCGACACCCTTCTGGACCAACTACGCACAACACACACGGCACCCGGCACCTCCTCCCCTCTCCCGCCCTACACGGGAGCCCCGAATGAAGCCCTGGACAACGACATATCGAAGCAAGAGGTCCGTATGGCCCTCCAGAACATCCGAACAAGCTCTGCACCGGGGAAAGACGGGATAACTAACTCCATGCTCCGTAATCTGGATGATCAATTGATTGCACAGATTACAGATTACTTTAATAAATGCTGGAAGGAAGGCACCTTGCCGCAATCCTGGTGCCATGCCAAGATTGTATTCATCCCTAAACCTAACAAACCCCTTACCATATCAAACCTCCGCCCCATTTCACTCACATCGTGTCTCGGGAAGCTTCTCGAGCACGTTGCTTTAAACAGACCGACTCAACACATGCACGACCACAACCTATACCCGCACAGCATGGTGGGCTTCCGCCCGTGTCTCTCCGCTGTTAGGTTTGGCCTGGAGATTCGTCTCTCAATCCCTTCGGCGCCCAGTCTGACGGACGCTGTCAAGTATTTGAGTGATTATCCAGACCAGGCGGCGGGCAGAGGCGAGTCCCGTCCTTCAAGTGCGGACCCTTTGGTCGTCCCTTCGAGCAGCAGCGTGACTGATGGCCTCGTCGACTCGTCGGGCGACAGGAGGGCTGGCGTGGCCGGCGCCGGAGCTGACAGAGGAGCGGCGCTCCCTTTTGATCCCCAATCACCAAGCCGACCGGCCGACTGCCTATGCTCGTCAGGCATTGTACGTGCTAGACGGAGGACGAGACGTCGTGTCGCCAAGACGCCGTTAACCATTCGAGAGAGGCCAACAAAGACAGCATCTCTCTGGAGGAGACTGACGGCCACCGCAAATCACCCCGCTAATTGAGCGAACAAAATCAGCGGACCCTTTGAAGTATGCTGCCAGGATCGTGGGAACTCTCGAGTAGCGGCACACCCACGACGAGGAAGAGCCCTGCTGGCGCCACCACAGTGCAGTGTTCACGTGGACCGTGCATGCTCGCCCCCCTCACCTGTGTGTGCGTGATTGGTATTCGACTCAGAGAGGAGGAGCCCGACAGGGTATAAAACGACGCGGCAGAGTGCCGGACGTCGCTCTGAACTATGTAACGTTCAACCACCACGCTCGTGGTTTGGGAAACCACTATCCCAACCTTTTCTGTAAATATGTGTAAATAATGTCATAAACCCCTGTTTATGTTTCTCGTATCCTCTTGTCGGCGTTCAGTTCCTCCATCCGGATGCCATCACCTGCAATTACTTCCTTCCCACTTCTAACACCGCCCAAGATGCCATGCTTCAACTGACGCACGGCATTCTTGATCCTCTCATCCCCGCTCATACTAAAGCCGTCTTGGCCCTGGACTTAACCAAGGCCTTTGATAGAGTAGAACACCGAGCGATCATGGCGGCTCTCTCCCCCCTCAATGTGGGCGTTCGTATGTACGCCTACATACAAGCCTTCCTATCAGGACGCACGGCCGAGGTTCATATGGGCCCCCATGCGTCCCCTCCATATACCCTCAGTGGTGTAGGCACTCCGCAAGGTTCGGTCCTTTCTCCTTTTCTCTTCAATGCCACACTCATTCCCTTAGCCCGCGCTCTTCACAATATCCCTCACCTTCATCACACCCTCTATGCAGACGACATCACACTGTGGACCACCCACGGTAGTGATGGCGACATAGAGGAAACCTTACAAACCGCCGCAAACATTACACAACAACACGCACAAAGCATTGGTCTCTCCTGTTCCCCGGAAAAATCTGAGCTGCTTCTCATATGCCCTTCACCATGTACTCTTCCCACTGCCCCCATCACCGTTACTCTGGACGGGCGCCCTATCCCAGAGGTCGACAGAATCCGAATCTTGGGCCTTCACATCCAAAATAACGGCCGTAACACTTTCACTATCCGGAAACTCAAGCGGGTGACGGATGCGCTCTCGCACCTCGTCCGCAGAGTTTCTGGAAAACACTATGGCATGAAGGAACACGATTTGTGTCGTCTCATTCATGCCTTCATACTGAGCCGCTTCCTTTATACAATCCCGTATCTCCGACTTCGACAAGAAGAAATAGCCACCCTGGATGCCATGCTTCGTAAAGCCTACAAGGTGGCCTTACACCTCCCCCCTAACACACAGACCACTAAACTTCTTCAGCTTGGGCTCCATAACACCACACACGAACTCATTGAGGCCCACAGATGAGCGCAATACACTCGTTTAGCTCAGACTCTCACCGGACGCTACATACTTAACACCCTCAATATTCACATACCAGCAGCCGACCCCACACTTCTACCAATCCCTCGACCCATACACACACAGATAATAGTTAAACCTCTCCCAAGAAACACCCACGTTACCTACCATTCGGCTCGCCGCAAGGCCCGTGCAAAAGCTCTCCACAAATACTACGGTTCTGAAGAGGACGCCGTATGGGTGGATGCAGCTTGCACGGGCGACGACGCGGCAGTTGCAGTCGTTGATCGCACACTCCAACCCATTGCAACTCTCCACCTTCCTCCTGCATCCACCCCGGAATCCTCGGAAGAAGTGGCGATCGCGCTTGCCCTCGCACACACTGATTCCCGGTACATCCTTTCCGACTCGGAAACCGCGATCCTAAATTTCGCGCGAGGACGAGTCCATGAGAGCGCTTTCAGAATTCTCAGCTCGCCCACCAAAAACCCGGCCCGCCATGTGGAGCTGATCTGGGTGCCTGCGCACTCTGGAAATCCCGGCAACGAAGCCGCCAATGACCACGCCCGAGGTCTCATCAACCGGGCGGCGGCGGAATCGGAGTCGGGCTCTTCCAGGGAGCGCATGCATTCGTTCAACGAGATGACCCAGTCATATCGCGCCGAACGCCAGCTATACCCACCACCCCACTGATCCCTCAAAAATTTTCACCAAATATTATGGCGTCTCCTTCAGACCCGCACCCTTCCCTCCCCCTATTTTCTTTCCCGCATTTACCCGGGAGCGTACGCGCCGTCCTGTGCTCAATGCACTCACCCCCACGCTACCCTTACCCACATTCTCATGGAATGCCCGGCGGACCCTCCCCCGCGGGGCCCGGAGCCACTGACCACATGGGAGGAATGGGAGACCTTGCTGCGCTCGACGGACCCGGCCAAGCAGAAAATCGCCACTGACCGGGCCGCCCACGTCATGGAACTGCATGAACTCATGAACGCATAGCGCAGTGGGGTCGTGCGGGGACCCTGGGACGTAAGTGACCAAATCCCTTGGTCTAATAAAGTTTTACCTCCTCCTCCAGTTTCTGAAAACATTTGTTATGGAGATATTTTGGTAACATTACTAAGTCGAGCACAAAAACATTGCATCGGATTGTTTCGAACAAGCCTCCAATAGAATACAAATAGATGCAAATATAGTGAACATTCTTCACATCCAGCTATTTATAATCATCAAGAATTATAATGCAATTTATATATTATAGCAAAATAAATAGCATCACCAGCTAATCCCACTTTGAGGGAATCTTGCCGAAAATCCCCAAATGATGAAAAATTCAAATTTGTACACTTTTTGTTATGTAGCTATTTAAAAACTACCGAGACACTTGAAATATGCAGTAAAAAAACTGAAGAAGTGTACTAAATTTCATTTAGTTAAACCAACCATTAAAAAGAAGTTCTTTTCAAACCAAAGTCTCCCCGTAACTAAACAGGTGACTAGGCTAAGCTATAACTAGACAATGTACAGGGGTCCTCGAGGAGGTTATTTCAAAGTGAAGCGAATTTCAGGGATGGTATTTTACGGTCTCTTGAGGCATCGTGTACCAGGCTAATATGCAAAGAACAGGACGAGATGCTCGAACTCATGACGTGCAATTTAAAGGTTTCAGGTAGCACACGGGCGGAGACTGGACAACACCCACCTTTGCTAAAAAAGAGGGATGCCATTTTGCCCTGCATGGAGAAAACAGTGTTAAAGAGAGCACAATTTCAACAAAATTGGTTGGTGGAGATGAGAAGGTATTTATACCAGCTCGAAACGTTCAGTAATGGCGAAGTAATTGACGTGTGAAGATTCCGCCATTCGCTCTGCCGCACCTGAAAACAAGAGCCAGAAATGCACACTGTTTGACAATCAGCATCATTAAATCTTCGCTGCTACATTTTTATGCGATTTACTTAAAATCTCCCTAAGCACCCTTATTCCTCTGTGCTTTTGAAGGAGTTACTAGCATTGCATTTTCTTCACATCACATTTTTTTGCTTACGTTTGTTTGCTGAAACATACGATGCCCAATAAACTCTCAGTAAACTGAAATCTTGTTAACAAAATTGCGGCCTAATTGGAACAACTGCCACTGATGCAGTTGGTTTTGTAGCTGGATTCTGCACCCCAGTGCACATCTCGGTAGATGGCACTCCTGTTAAACATATTTTCCCAACCCCTTCAGGTTCGGTTCAACGAGAGTCTACTGCAATATAGAAGTGTAATCAATCACCTTTCAGTAACTGTTCAATCGATTAAAGGGTGAAAATTTTTGCATAATGTGCCAGAAGGCCACGCACTTGCAACATTGTACTTCACCCTTCGTACTGCAAAATCACAATAAAAGCAAGACATCCGAAGGTAAATGTGAGCGATTTCACAAACTCAACTGCTTAAGAGAAGGGGCACTCTCTCATCTTCATCCACACACTTGGAGATGATGTCATCCGTCCTGAGTTCATTCTGGAGACCAATCAGAGAAAGCAGAGGAATGAGGTAAAGCTACAAGATGAACATGCCGCAAAGCTTTATTCAACACACTCTTGAAACTTCTACGCTAGTGCTCTGTGACAAAGTCTCTCTACCCTATAGAGCCTGCACCACCCTCCACTCTTTTGAAGCATAATCAAGATTTACTCCCGTATCTAGATATGCTCCTTGACTTGCCACTACCTTCGATACATTGTGTTTTAAATGTGTTTGTTCTGCCTTAGCACCTCCTAGAGCAGTGCGTTTGGAACATGTTTGTGCTGCATTGATGGTAGTGGCAAGTCAAGCCAAGAAGCGTTCCTGAATACAAAGGTTACACATTATAGTCATTCTCAGCCCATCCGATGTGCACGGCAGGACAAAGGCCTCTCCGAACGATTTCCAGTTTATCGTATTTTGTGTGAGCCGTTTCCATTTCATGCTTGCGGATTGCCCGTTACCTATTTACTGAAGCTCTGCTGTTGTCAGACGCATTCCCAATCTCTTGGTATTCTATTCTGTTGCTCCGACTCGCAAATAGTTACCTGCCTGACGAGTCATGCGACTTTCTCATGTCCACTCTTCATTCTCAATGTCACCTAGCAATGTTCTTTTTTTTAATCCAGTCTGCCCTGTTCCTGTCTCTAGATGATGCCTATAATTTTTTTGTTCCATAAGATGCCATGAAAATTTTCTCATTACATGGATCCGGCACATACTCGAGTTATGCATGCACAAGTGTTCCATTTTTAGTTTTCAGTGTCATTGATGTGTCATTGATTACTGGACAATGCCTCTCTGGCTCCATAACCAGAACTTTGTTTTTCTCAGTTGCGTAAATAACACTGCATGCTGGATAAATTTGTGTATGTTCCCATCGTAAAATAAAATGTGGCAATCGGGGAGCTATGCTAAGATAGCTGGTATAAAACACCACCATTATAAGCCTGCTTAGCTCCACAGCAGCACAGGGACCTCATAATAGTTACTACTGTCCTGCATTAGTCGCACACACGGAAATGTACAGTGTGAACATCGCCTTTCAGTAACAATTCACTTAATTAGTCATGCTAGAAAATGCATTAATCTTGCAAATTGAGCTAATCATTTACAGCTACTGTGTCAGTATAATAGACAATTTGTTCTCCACACAAAAGCAAAAAATTATTTTTCAAATACGTACTAGGAAGTGTAATACATTAAACACACACAAGCCTTTTCCATCACCAAATAAGACAAAACGAATTTTACAGCACAGTGAATACGAAGACTCACCAAGACAGAAAAAAAAGCATTCAGCAGATTTACCACAGCAAAGAGAAAAGCCGAGGCTGGCCAAAAAACGAAACAGCAGAGAATAAACGAGACTTTACAATACATGTTCAAGGCAAACATTGTTTTCGACAGCACAACAGAAGTGGCCAATTTGGCATGACCCGCCACCACGTTTGTCCGCAGTCCAGGGAGATTCCATGCGCTCGTTACTCACACAGTTACTTTTTGAATCTGAATTGCCAGATAGTTTCTCTTTGGTAGTTTCGCCTTGGTGGCCACTGAGCGGCCTATGAGTTTCACTGTAGGGCACTCACTGCATTTCAAGCACTTAGAGCACCCCAAAGCACAGTACTGGAAAGAAAAAGCCAAGAGCATCGTCGACCGCACAGTTGGCATCACCGCAACTGGCAGGAGCATCCTCAGCAAAAATAATACAGTTCAATAAACATGTCTTGTGCAACAGTAGAACCAGCTGTCCATAACCCCATGCAAGCATTACGAATCTGACTATAAGAACACATTCATGTGAAACAACCTCAGCTCAAGGTAGCTTTATTTCCGTAAGCACACGCATGAGGGGAGCAGAGGGGGTGGTCGCCACACCCCCGTAATCCCCTAAGAGGAGGGGAGGGGGCACAAAGTCTGCCCCATATAGAGACTTAACAGGAACAGGGAAAAGGGGCGCTGTGACGAGCTGTCGCCGCCCCCCCTGAAGGGAAACCCCGCACACGCCTATGTTTATCTTTATGTGCTTTTGCATGAAATTCATAAAGTTAAGCACAATTGGTAAGGCAGGCAATTCTTTAATCTAGCCATTATAAACCTATCTTGAGTATAAGAACGAAAGTAGGTTAGGCTAGATGATAAGCATTCATCATGGTCTAATCCTTTGCCATCATCTGGCAATTCTTTGAATAGTGTTACGGTTTCAGAGTTGAGCAAGTTGGTAGAGGCTGTTACACCGCAGAACATACAGCGCAGGATAAATTCACACAAAAGCAGCACAAGTTTCACAATAAGCCAGCATAACTAAGTGTACGGGGAGGTGCGGGTCTGTCAAAAATTTTCTGCCAGCAGCGCAAGAGTTGCTGCTCGCAGCTTCCCAGAGTCCAAAGCAACTACACACGCCACAAGTCGTGAACACAGGCACAGAACAAATATCACAAATGCCCTGAAATCAAACAGGCAATCGATAAATGATTGATAAGTTGCATCAATGCTCTACCTTAACATCAATGCTAAAGATCCTTGTACATCTACCTCGGCTTAACTATGCCAACTGCAGGGAAAAGGCCTCTCTCACGCTTTTGAATTTACTCACTCCTGTGCTTGCTGCTGCAACATCATCTCTGTAAACTATTTAAGCTCATCTGCTCAGAGAAGTGTCTTCCTCAGACTCACGTGCTTGCCATCTCTTGGGATCCAGGCTGTTACTCTAAATGACCAGAGGTCAGCCTGCCTTTGTGCTAAAAGCCCTGGACAATGGGCGGCTAGGGGCAGTGTGCCCATTTCTTCTTCCCACCGGTTCAACCTAGAGACTTCAGAATTCGGGGACTTGTCATGAGTGGAAGCGGAGCATTGATTTCAGAAGAACAAAAAATGTGTCTGGCAACGCCTCTGATCCAGGGTTCAAATAGGGTGCCTCGATGCACGCGCCCCCGCTCAGGGTGCTGCCACCTCTTGTACTGCTCCCTCCGCCATTGTAGTGCCTGCAGCATCTTCCCCAAGCTGTATAGCTCACGTGACGTCTTTCTTCTGCATGTTATGCCTGGATGTTCAGTTATTCAAGGCTACAACCATCTGCGTTAGCTAATGGGTTACTACGCACCAGAGCAACATCAGTATGCAGCGAGAGTGATAATGGCGGCCACCGCAGATGTCTTCCCTCAGAGCGGAGGAGGGGGCATCAAGGCACCTCTAGGTTCAAGTAAACCGCGCCCTCCAGTTTTAAGCCCCCCCTTCCCCCCCCCTCGAACCTAGAGTGCATGGATGCATGCTCCTCCGCTCAGAGTGAAAACATCTGCGGCGGACGCCATTATCACTCCCACAGGCATACTGGCAGACCCTTTTTGAACAGAACTTCATTGCTTTGTTCAAAAAGTATAACCTTCCAGCTGGGTTCTCTCGATAGAAACAGATCATCTGTTTTAATAATCAATATATATGCCTCTAAGAGGTTGTTTGTTCCAGAACCTGCCTAATCTTGAAGTCGGCTCACAGTTCTGCAGTCTGTGGTAAAAACCTCTGCAGTCTGTGGTAAGACCATGCTGCCTTAGAAGAGCTTAAATGTATGTAGTATGAAAACAAAAGTATCAAAAAGTCTGTATGCACAATCATATTTTGAATTGCAAGCCCCTGTTTTTCAATGCTCATCACAGAAGTTGCCCCTGCCCCTGATCACAATGTGTTGCAAAACCAAACAAAACCAATTTGCTAGAGATGTAAAACAATGAAACAGAGGCAATTCACAGCTATTAATTCAGATGCTGCACTGTTGGCACTCCTAGGCAAGCTACAAACAATGCTCATGGAGCCGTGACAGATAAAACACAAGAGAATGCAAATCAATTACTTTTAATGTTAATTGCATTAACTCTGCAATGAAAAGAAAGACAAGTTTGGGAGCATAAATGGCATCATATGTTTAAAAGTTAAGGTTCACTGCTCACATGAATGCACATCTGTGCTTGTTTCTGGCATTTCATTGACTGATCAATTCTTCTTGCTGTTAGATCGCTCGCAACAAACGTGTAGTAGCGCCTAATTCACGATAATGAGTACAGAGGTAACTTTTTTTTTTCTCTTCACGCAGTGCAGCGTGATGGCTATTCATTCCAGTGCCAACCAGCAAATTCAAACTGTTCAATTCAAACTATTCTGTAGTCCCCTTCGAATTCGATATTAACAAGCTTTTATTGTAGTTCTAATAAATATTGTGTCTAATACAGAAAAATTAGCCCTCAGGTTTCTACTTCTTTCTTTATTGTTGCATTATAGGTTCTTGTTTTGAATAAAAGCTTGATTCATTGTGAACCTCACAAGCAGATTCAAATTGGCAAGCCAAAAAGGGTCAAGTTGGTGAAGTAGGACAGTTGAACTTCTACTTGCAACAGAGTGGCAGTAGGCCAAACAAAGTCGAAAGGATTAAATTAGACAAATCACCTGTAATGCCCATTATTCCCATGCTTGCTGACATGCCAAGTGATGCACCTCCCATAGACATTTGCAAAAGATGTTCCTCTAGTGAACTGTTATAAAACTACATGTGGTATGAGACAACTTCTGCCATGTGCTGCATCTGCGATGTTGTACGATTTTCGCTGAGAGTTCTGCGCTGTGTTGAAAGCGAAGTGGCAACAGCTATGCAGCTGGCAACCACCTGCAGCAACTGAGCGACTCACCACCATGTCGTCCTGCTTGGCCTGCGTGATGGTGCTCTCCTCCTCGTCCACCACCCGCTTGTAGTGCTGCAGGGTCTTCCAGTGGACGAGAGCATTGGCCGAAGCCATGGCCTCGATCACAAACGTCGTCGTCAAATAGCTGCCACAGGCGACAACAAAAAAGGGGTGTAACGCACAGGAATCAAGGCGCTACCGCATGAAGGGGCACCGTGCAGTCAGGTGAATGATTTTATTTGAAACACGATAACAGCTTATTTTACAAATAATGTCTAAGTAGCAAAGAAAACGATGGATAGATTTGATGCCTATACGTCAGTACATTAGATAAATCTTAAGCTTTCTTGACATCCAGCTAATGCTCGTGCTTTCTCAAATGCTAACAATTGAAAAATCATGTTGAGTATGAATGTAGTACTTGAATGTGAGCGCCTTAGCACCTTTGATGTGCATAGAGAGGATACACAGAACATACTTCGAACTAATTAAAGGGACCATGACCCAATCATTTAGCAAAGTGCCGTTTTCAGTATAAAATAGAAGTATGCATGTATATAAACGGTCTACTGTGCCTGCACATGTATGGAAAATGGACTGCAAAAAAGTATTTCATTGAAAAATGGGCCCTAGAAGTCACCAGTAATAAACCCCGCGCACAGCCAGCGACTGCCATATTACTACAGCGTGTGCGACATTCTGTGCTTATTGAAGTGGAGCCCTCTACTACCGAATTTTCAGCCATTACGAACCCACACATTACCATAGCCACTAGCTACATAACGCAGATAATGAGCAAAGATTGGGTGTCGTGGTCCCTTCAAACAATAACCAGGATACCTCCTTTAAAATCAGCTAATTGACTTGCGTATTTCTAATGGCTGTGCAATGACCATATTGAGTCCTATAATCCCTAAGTATGTATGCATCACACTTTTGCCCATTCTGCATAGCTTCTACAGGCCCAAGATGTCTTACGACAGTTTCTGAACCATTTTGAGCCATCATTGCATTTTTTTTGTTACAGGCCACATTCACATGAGGCACAAAGCTCCCAGTAATTGTTTTCGTATGAACATGGAAAGACAAATGTTAATGGTCGAAGTCTCCCGTAAGTCGAACTGTTTTCTGGGTTAAACAGGACAGAAAAGATGTGAACTTTAGAAATTTTTGACAGCATGCATATCACTTGACCGCCTGCCACCTAGTCTGTAATCCCCTATATTGCTTTCAGCGTTTTCTTTTGAGAGTATGCGCCAAATGTCAGGCCTCCGTGCCCAAAAGATGGCAGGATCATCTGACAAGAGTGACAAAAACCAGTTCTCTCACCTCATAAAGGCGAGCACGACGACGATGATGAGACTGAGAAGCCAGCCGGCATCTTTAAAAGCTGCGGGCATCGTAAGTGCGCCTGTGCCGACTATCAAGTTGAATATGTACACCAGTCCCACCTGAAAGAAGTCGCAATGATGAATCAACAAGTGAGAAAAAAAAACACATAAGGACCAGTGCAATGCAAATGACAAAACACCGACTAAGCATGCTGGGAAAGATGTACCGATGCCTTGTGCGAAACAAACAGCTTCAGAGAAAGATGCGCAAAAAACAAGCAATTTCTAATCAGCAGTCTTATCACTAGCATACAGACCTGTGCGAAACATTGCGGGAGTCCACCTAGGGTGCACACAGCAAATGTAAGACTTGTAGATTTTACAGTTACAAGGAAAATAGACATTTTTTTATCCGGCATTTCAACGAATGGGTGGCATAGTAATTATGGTGCTACGCCCAAAACCATGAGATGATTATGAGAGACGCAGCGGAGGGCTCTGGAAATTTCAAACACCTGGGGTTCTCTATCATGCACCTAAATCAAAGTACACGGGCCTCAAACATTTTGCCCCTACCAAAATGCTGCCACCACGGCTGGCATTCAACTCCGCAACCTTCAGGCCAACCTTTGAACATCATAACCACAGTATCACCCTGGTAGGTGGATTGGCAACACACAATTATTTTTGTCTGCAATGTGCAAAACACTTCCACACACGTGTTTGCTGGGTGTGTCCAAGGTTGATTTCCAAATGTTTTGCTTATATCTGCAAGGCACAATAAGCTGTTTGGGAAAACACTAGTTTTTAGAAAGTCATGACAAAATGGTGCGGTGTCGTGTTGGTGCATCACAACACGAACCCCAGTGAATATAAGAACATTCTTACCAACAGAAGTTAGACAACAGAATCGAAAGTTGCGCTAGTTGGATATGCATGGTATAACTGTCGTTCAAGCGCACAAATAAACATAAAGGAAGAGAGGACAAACGCTTTCTGGCAAGTAAATAATTTTTTAGAAAGAGAAGAACATATAACCAGGCTATTGCCTGCTTATATATTCTTCCCTTTCTAATAAATCATTTAGTTACGAGAAAGCACTTGCCCTCTCTTTCTTTCTGTTATTCGTGCGCTTAAACGACAGTTATACGAAGCTAGACGAATCATGTATGTATCTTGGAAGGGGAAGTTGTGGTAATGAGTGTTAAATGGAAGCATTAGAACCGTGCCGCCCCACAAAGTTCTCTTTCTCTAATCTTATAAGTATAGCTCTAAGTGTCAAGATGAATAAGTTTCCAACTACGGTAACTCACAGTGGCAAGAAATGTCTGCTGCTTTGAACACAACAGGAGCAGCATTTCAGGTTTTAGTTACATGCATTGTTTTTTTCTGTTCTATTGTTAACTTCAAAGGGCCTTTGGTGTAGTGGTCAGGGTTCCAATGACCAGATAAACGCGTTTCTAGATTAAGATATGTGCGACACCAGCTACAGAGTCAGCGGGAATAGAGACTGCTTTGGAGATGCAGCAACGACAAAGGGTTTTTGCACAGGAGGCTCCAGCAATATAGTTACACACCTATGTCACGAATAGAGCACAAATGAAGCTTTATATATATATATATATATATATATATATATATATATATGTGATCAAAAAACAGCAGAGCAAGAGAAGATGCACTCAGTGCTACGAGATGATTGCAACTCAGAAGATGGCGCAGTTAACTGCCACGCCAATAGTGTTATAGTCCAAGGAGCTAAAATTCTTGGTCACAAATTTTCGGAGTCTCTATGTAGTACTGCTGGCGGCTGTCAATATGGAGGTAAACCACTTTCCATCTATCGATGGCATCCTGCTGGTACATACTGCAGCGCGTTGTTTCTTTCACAATTGTTGAGAGCCTGTGGTCTTTTGTGCCGTTTCTTGAAGTGTGTACTGTCATGCTCAGCGTGCAACACCACGCAGGCGTATGGCCAAGTGCTGATCACGGCATATTTCCAGAGTTAATGGAACAGGGTTCAGCAGCCCCTGTGAGCACGCATTGCCCTCCCCCTCCCCCTTTGCTTGCTTTCATCCTTGAAGTTAACATTTGTGAAGTCGATGTCACCACAGGACAAAGCAAGGGCGAGCGTGATACCAAGTGATAAGCAGTCCAGGCTCACAGGAAAAACCATGTCCTCTCCTGTTAACTCAAAGCATGCCACGAATGGACACCCCTATATAACCTTACATGCGATCCAACATGCTTCCAGGTGTAGCTCAGTATCGAGTGTGATATCAAGCAACAAGCACGACCATCCGCACTTCCTTCTTATATAACTGAATGAGGTTTGAATTATCAAAATAGCTTAAAGTGACACATACAAAAAACATGTTGAGAGACACACTGTCCTTCCGAAATCTATGTTGCGAAAGCAGGCCAAATAGAGATACGTAGGTGATAACAAAAGCCGCGTGCCTGTCACTTATCACACACACTAGTTCTTCCTAACAAATGATGCTTGCCCAAGTCCAAGTCGGTTAGTAGAATTACATGAAAGGACAGCCAAATACAGGAAGCTATTGAGAGGACGGTTTAGTGAAACTGTTCACAGGAAGTATCATCCATGCCAGCAGCTACAAGCCGGCTCTGGCTACGAGATCACCAGAATACAGAAAATCACTTTCGACGGTGTAAAACTAAGTGGCTCGAGGTGGACAAGTTCGCTGGTATTAATCAAAGTTAAAAAAATATCAAAAACGTGATTTGACATTTTGAAAAACATGCCGAGCGATCACAGATGCAAACCGACCTCCGAAAATGCTGGTTTAATTCTTCCAGCATTTCCCCACATAACACGGGAAGCCTTTACGTCAGCACAAGCGCCCAGTCACAACTTCTAATTTGAACTACATGACACTACTTTAATAAACGACGACACCACAGTTTGTTTCTCTATTGCTAGACAGTGCATGCGACAAGACACGAAAGGAACGGACTTTCACTTTGTCGTATCCATTGCGCGATAACCGAATTACGTAAATTCTGCGCACAGCATCACTAAACAAAATCTGGCCACGAGCTACTAGATCTTCTTTAAACAATCTACGTGCTTCTTAGGCGCATTTTCGTAGCGCACAATGGAGCCCGCTAGACGAACAGCAACGCCGGGAAAACGTCGCTTCCAGGAGGGAGGATAACGCGCACGAAAACACATGGACGCTGCGCGCAACAGCTGCTTAGCCCACTCAAGCAGTGGCAGTTAGGAAAGGAGTAATTAACAGACAAGTGCGTGTGAGCCGCTCATCACGAACGGCCGTGCAACACGTCATTTGCTTTCGCTATCAATGAGCGCTCGCAAGACCGCTGCAGGGGGCAGTACTCGGAGGAAAGTTTACGGCCCTACCGAGTACGCTAAAACGTGAGCGACGAGAACGTGGCGACAATCATGCCTTGCAGAACTAGCGAGAAAAAAAAAAATTGATGCGGAAAAAGTAAAAGCGCAGGAAATCGCACAATTGAGAACAACGAATGCTCACCAGAGGCGAAATACTGTCGTTCGCGTCCGCCGAGTCGCCTGCCATGATTGGTTTCGCTCGAAATTAACAACGAAGCGCTGTAAAAATTGCGAGTAGTAAGGATTAAAACGAGTATTTAAAATTTTAACTGCGATAATTTAGAAGCTTAGTACGCGCTGCTGGCATTTCGAAGCCACAAAACCCCAGCCGACGACACCAGCAGCTGAGCGCACTGGCGACCGCAGCGCTACATCGCGGCTATTTACGTGACTCTTATCTACTTAATCATGTTTTGAATGTTGTTAAAGCTTTTTATTGGAGATATTATTACGAATGTCAACGAAATAACTTTGTACAAATTTTGATAGGCGTGTAAAATATTCCAAAACCACGGTGCGCCACGCGCACTTGGCTACGCGTTAGCCGCTCCGGTATCCGCCGGCGAAGCCAACACGAACCAAAATACGAGTCACTTTTTTTTTATCGCCGAGACCGCGGAGGCAAGCTCCCCGGTCGACGAAACTCGTTCGATTTCCATCAACAATCGGTACCCGCTTTCATGTCTAGACTGCCGGACGCAAAGGTAAGAAGCGCCTCGATCGCCGCACATTAATCCGGACGGTTGCGTCTCGTAGAAATCGCTACTTTCAAGCCGAGTTGTCTGCAGAACGGTGTGATGGGTTACTCCCCCGCAAAGCGCACTAGGCCTAAATGTTTGCCGACGAAGGATGTGCTACCGTTCCGGTGATACGAGTCGCAATCTTTGCACTGGGCGCGGCTTCGTCTTTGCCTCGAGTGACATCGCGCTCTTCCCTCGTAGCTTCTTCCGTCTAGTATTGGTGCGGTAGCGGCGTAGTTTTCACCGTCTCAGCCGCAGCGCAACAGGTATTCGACACCGGTGGGTTGCTGTTCTTCGCGCAGTCCGAAAAGTAATGCCGAACGCACCGACACCTGCCTCGACTGGATGACAGGTGCGTTCGTCAGACTGCTCACTTCGATTGAGATCGCATTTCGTTGCTTCAACTTGTACATACTTCCTTGGAGAACACGTTCAGCCAAGAGAAACCGTGCACCGTTACATCGCATCGGTCTTATCTGCTCGGTGTTTGCGAACTGCGGAAGGCCTTTTGGAAATGCCGATTGTGAGCCAGGTTATCATCCGGCGATGTGACGCGCTTCAAAGCGCGCCGCGGCACTTGGTGATTTCGGCCGTTTCAAGCTGCTGCGCTGAAATCTGGCGGTGATTCAGCGTTGTGGATCCGGCCGTGACGTAACCATCTCGACCGGAGTGTTTAGACTGTGGCGCCGAGGGCGAGAAAACCAATTTTAAACGTGCCCTATGCGGCCCGAATGACGTGCTCGTTGTGTCGTGTAGCCCTTTGCTTTGTGCTCCAATTGCGGCTTTAACAAGCCGCCGTGTTTGGGGCCCCGGAAAAGGGACGGTGCCAGTGGGCGGCTTGTGACGACAGGAGCTTTTCCGCTGGACGGAAAAGCCGCTGGATGTATCACTTCCTCGGCGTCGCCTAGCCGTAGTCTCGGATAGCTGATCGAACTTGTTACACCGTGCGCAAATGAGGCGGTGAGGAAGTGACCGCGAAGAATGCGCCAGTGTGTGTTTCCAGCTGGGCTCGCGGTACTGCTTATCACTGTCAGACCCGTTGTATTGTCCCGCCATACTTTTCCTGTCGTTGTGATGAGTGAACCCCCCCTTTTTTTTGAGCTTACAGGTTTTTCACGGCCTGTCATTAGTTAACTGAACAGAAGCCCGCATACTTTGTCGTTTCAAGGTTTCAAACTACCATTAACATTAGAGTAATTGTTCGACTCACACTCTTGATTCAGAACTGCTAGCTTTCTGTCAACCATTAAGGACAGCCTCCCTCAAAGAACAGCAAAAAAGTATTGCTCTTTTTTCTTCCTAGAAACACAAAGACTTCAAACGGATCACAATCTTGCTTTTTTCTAAGTTAGCCTCTGTATTTTTTCATTTCCCATTCAAGCGACATATCACGTTTGCTCCTCATGTTCACAAGCTCCACCAAGGGAACCCACAAACACCCTTTTCTCTTTAGTTTAACTGGTGTTTTGAAGCTTCCAGAGTGTGCTGCTGCGGCAAGTATAACTTGATTTGTTTGTCAGTACAACCTGGCACAAAGGTGGTGCGTCATTCATTAGTAGGTCGACCCAGACACAAGCAGCGATGCGCAGCCGCTTGGGTCATGCCTGACTAGGCGTGAACCGCGCTGCGTGGGTCACGATTTGTGTTGCTCCAAACAATACTGCCATCTTGCCCGACCCTTGCACGTGCCGGTTGCAAGCCTGGCTGCGTGCATTGTTAGGATTCTGGTTGTTGAATGTCAACAATTATGTAGAAACCCTGTCACATTTGTTGGGGTACTCGCAGACTGGCTAATGGGAGCACATGCATTCTCATTCTGTCTAACTCTCTACACGGACAATAAGCCTTTATGCAACGCTATGATAACATTATGCGAGATATATATTAACCCTATGCACACGTTTCATGCAGTGACTCCTCCGCTCACAGACCATGGACGTACACAGTTTTGGTGTGGAGCCCATCAGCTGCCATGCATGGAACGAGAATCGCACAGGTAGGCCTATGGAGGTTCTGCCCGTTATGTGCGCAAGTTCCATCACAAGATTAGTACACAGAGAGAGCAAAATGCTAGGAACAACACTAAGTTGCAGCTCTCTACTTTTACAACGAAAGCTGTTATGAGACTGCAATGGCCGTCCTTGGTGCTGAAGTAGTTTGTCGCCGGTGTCCGTAACCACGATCGCTTGAAGTAAGATTAAAAAAAAAATGAAACAAAAATATATCCTGGAACTGGGGCCCACTGCATGGCAGCCCAATATTCTACCACAGAGCTGCACCGCTGCTTGGAAATCCTTTGCAAACAGAACCTATGCAGGCTTCATGTCGGCGAAGGAGTAGTGTTAACATGTGTAATAAAGCATTTTATAAGAGAGAAATAATAACTAGGCGTCGCACAATGCAACTAGTGTAACGAGTAGGTTGCGGAATCCTTTCAACCTATCACACAAGGCTCATCAATGGTTCTTTGTCATCAGCCACAGCATCAGCAAAGTGTACGCAATGCCTTAAGAGGGTAGCACGTTGTTCCGAAGAATGAATAATGGCATAATGGTAATGGGTGCTTTCCTACTTCACAAGAATTTTGATGAGTTTTATGGCATTGCGGGTGTCATGCAAGTTCACCTGTAGTATGTAGTTGCCCCTAGAGTGTTCAAAAAAGGCTCTAGAAAAACTGCTATTCCACCTTTCGCTGTGACTGCTGCACGTTTCGTGCAGGCCTGTTAATTCTTTCATTTTTACATGTGTAAGTGAGCGTGCATACATTCAAGTGCTTTGATAGAAAAGTGCCCAGGGCCTTCAGATTACTTTGTTATATGAGCAGCTTCGCTGTAAAACGTCACAGACAGTAATGCTGGTGTGTAAGGAATCTGTTCTATACACGCATCATTGGCATTGTGTGAACGAAAGAAGAGGGCACTTAAGGGCTCGTTTTTATTTGTTAAAACAACTTCAATGATAACTGTCAGTCAGGTCAAGAAAGGTATTATATGTAGCCTTTCAATTGTATCGTTATAACTATAATATAAATGTGAAGTATTAAAAGCTGACAAAAAGACTTGCTGCTGGCACTAAACCTGCAACCTTTGGGTAGTGCATCTGATGACCAGTTGAGCTATGGCAGTGGTTGTCGTCCTGTTGTCAAGTTATAAAGGCTGCCGGTTTGGTTCCTGCTGGCGGCAAGTTGTCTTCGCATCTACTTCAATTTCTTCATTTACGTATATCACAATTATTACTGTACAGTTGGTATACAGTCTAACCCCTTTGTCACACATGCTGATGTAATGGACAGTTGGATACGAGAGACACCAGTTCACCGGCATTGAAATAGAAGTGTATGAGAAAATGCATACTTGGTACCCCGCTTATGAGAGATTTCATATAAAACACAAGAATTGCTGCTTGGAGCATGTCTGAAGGGGTTCAACTGTACTACTAGCAACATCCTCTATATCCTCCTTAGTTTGATTGTCTGTTGGTTTTCTTTTTCTTGTGGAAGCATTTGTTGTGAAAAAGTTGATCTGTGATGACTCTAGCAGCAACCACAAATCCCTAGTCGGTAACTTGCCCCAGCTAATTCAACTCTTATCTCTGACAGTAGCTTAATAAAACTTTTTGTTGGGCTAGTTGGTACATGCTCACTGAAGTACAAAAAGACGCATACCATCAAGGAAGAAAAGTTAAGGACGGAACAGGAAGGGTGTTACTCGCAACTAACTTTATTCTCAGAACATCCGCGACATACCTAACCGTAGCAAATGTGCATGCACACATTGCCTCACATGCTCGTCAGAGAACGCTCGATAAGATTGACAAAAGAAATGTTCACAAAAAAGCCACTAACTTTTCTCCTTGGTGGTATGCATTTTTTAAAAAATTTCCGACAGTAGCAATAACTTTTCGCTCCTCATCGTCTTTCCAGAGGTGGCACTGTGTCCCAACAGCACGGACGTGCAGCTGTACAAGCGGGAAGCGAACGGAGGGTGGTCTCTGGGTCAGACGCTCAGCCGGCATGACCTGCGAGTGACCAGCATCGACTGGGCACCGCAGAGTAACCGCATTGTGACCTGCGCTGCTGACCGCAACGCGTACGTCTGGACCCTGGGCTCTGAGGAACCCGGCACCAATGCCACCGTGTGGACCCCTACCTTGGTGCTGCTGCGGATAAACCGTGCTGCCACATGCGTCCGGTGGTCTCCCAGCGGTAAGTGAACTCTGTTACAGTGTTAGACGACGCAGAGTTCGAAGATGAGAGAGCGGTCTCTTTCTCGCCTTCATTGCTCTTCCTACAGGTGCTATTTTTTCATCGGCACTTACTTTTGCACAAAGCACTTAGACAATAGACCATTTTATTTTAGCAATAGGGTGATAGCGTTACCATGCCAGAAACTCTCATTTTGGATAACACGTTTTAGTATAGCTGGATAGCGCTTACGTGGTGTAACTGGGGCGTCACATGTCAAAAGATGAATGTGTTAGCAAAAAAAAAAAAAAAAAGGAAGGTTTTGTGCCTGTCCTGTGTACTCTTCTTCGTCTGTGTTTTTTCGCGAAATCAAATATGTGTTCAAAAAAGGAATAAAACTGTAAATGCTCGCCTGTATCCCCGCATGCAGCAATATTACTCGTTTTTTACTAATTGTGAAGGTAAATAAATATGAGCCGCGCACCATAATCGAAAGCTTACTTACATGTTGCAGCTTTGTTTACAGTGATCTTCTTGTTGAACTTAGGGACATTCGAAATGGCAAGTGGTCTCAAAAACCCCGTTAAGTTACCCATAGTATACAGTCGAGCCCACATATAACGGCCCCACTTAAAATGAACTTTCGCTTAAAATGAACAATATCCGCGTGACCGTGAAAATATACATTGGTTGAATGGCACAAAATCGCAATTACAACGAACGTCTCCAAGCGCCGCTGATCCGTTACAGCGAATGGAGTCAGCGGTCTGTTGACTTCCCGGGAAACCAATTTCGACCATCGATCAGGCATCGGCAAGGTGCTCATATATTCTTATTGTTAAACGCCGACCCTGCATCCGCGCCCCTCTAGTTGCCGCTCTCCCCGACCACTTTTTGTTACGCACCCCTCCGTCCTTTGTTCCTTTGCTACTCTGAGCACCCCGCATCGACAGACAAGGTCCGTGTTTTCACACTGCCACCGATCTTTCGAAGACCGGTCGGCCACGTACCCTGTTTTTGATCGCTGGTACTGTCGTTGGCGTCACCGGCCTGTAGTGACCAGACCATTTGCCAACATCGTCGGCCACGGACTGTATCCGATAGTCTGCGTCTAGTGCACGCACATACGCTACCCCATTGACTCTGATAATTTGCGATTCGTTTCGTGTTTAGGACTTGTTCTCGTTCACTTCGCACTCGGCTTCCACGTGCCTTCCGCGTGCGTGCGGAAGCGCAAAAATGGCTGTTAATTTGCGCGGAACGAATCGCGAAGTATAAAAGTTTATGAGGCCACGCAAACCCGCCGGCGCAATGAAACGATTTTTTGACCACGGCCGCCGATTCTTTGAACGCCGCCGCGCACACCGATTCAGGCGGCCATGCACTCTTTCCAAGTTTTTTTACGTGCGAGTTTCGCGGACCTTTCAAGCAAGCTACCCAACCTGCCTCCATCCTTCCCAAGTGTTTTGGTTTTCAAGGCTGCCCTCCCGCCACATCTTCCCCTCTCTTTCTCGCAACTCCTTGCCTTCTCTCGCAAGTCTGCTCACCTGTCTTGATCACAACCCCTTCGCCCGTCTCCACCGCTACGGCCACGCTGGCTCGAATTAGTTTCGTTTTCTGACTGGAAACGGGCCCAGAGCTGTTCCACGTGCTCTGGCATGTGTGTCGCGTGTGCGCGTCTTGCTCGCTCTTGGTGTGCGTGTGGGGTCATGATGGCCGACAGGGGGACTAGCACAACGTTTTCCTGCCACTCAACATAACGTCGAAAGTGTGACCACTTGGCTTGAGCGTAATCCGCGCGTTAGGTGCCGGGTTGCGGAGTGCTTGCTCATAGCTGTTGACCACCTGGCAGCCAACTTGCCGCTTCGGGCGTCCCGGTATTCAGCTGTGGAGATGGTGAATATTTCATGGGCGCAAAACTATTTTCGCGAGGCCGACTTTGTCGACGTTGGGTCTGATGCCGAGCCTGAAGTTTCCGAACTGCAGCGGCGATTTGTGGCAGCGCGTCGTCAACTCCGACCTGGGAGAGCGGGTGGGACATCTGTTGTGATGGTGTAATTACGGCCGATGATGATACCGACACTGTGGAGCTGTGCACAGATTGGGGCATAGTACGTGGCGAGAGCGATTTGGAGGAATCGGATTGCGAGAACAACGAAACTTTGGAGAGCCAGCGCCTCATGCAGCTTATGCCACGGGCCTCGGCGAACGAGCACCCTGCCGTTTTGAATGAACTCGAGACCACCCTTATCGCTTCTGCTATTCGAAACACGTGCGACACGGACTTTTTGGGGCATAAAATGTTTGTGTTATCACTCGCAACTTTTTTTAAAAGCTATGTTTCATTTACTGCGAACTTCGGGATACAGCGAACGGATGCCGCGTCGCGCTCAGGTTCCTTATAAGCGGGCTAGTCTGTAGTCAGTTGTAGAAACTGCCTGAAGGCAAGTGAAGCCATTTAACAGGCTCATTTGCTGCGAACAAAGTGAATCCTTCTACAGCAGTGCCAGCTTCAGCTTGAAACGAGCTTTGGAAACTGCCAGCACGTAAACAACACAAATACGTCAATGCTAAATCTGAAAAATAGGTTGCATACTGCAAATGTTTCGTTAAATGTATTGCACATGCGCATTTCGATCCCGCTATTCTGCGAAGGCCATTCAACTACATACAACCGTCTTTCAGCAGTAAATGTCAGAATTTCGTGCTTTTCAGCAACAAACCATTGTCTCCGCTTCATGCTGTCTTCTGAGCTCAAAGCATAGACTCTGATGCTGGCCAGAAATGAAGCACATCCTGTAGTTACTGAATGTGCCAACATGTGACGTTACATGTGTGGAAGGCTACATCGGGCGATTCTATTCTCGCGTGCTTCCTGTTGGGTTGGGTATGCCGCAGGGTAGTGTTTTGGGGTCGTTATTTTTAATGTATACAAATGATTTAACGAAGGGCATTTCATCATCGGTGTCAGTAAGGCTGTTTGCAGATGACTGCATTATTTTTAAAGAAATTACTTCTACTGGCGACCAAGATTGGCTCCAACAAGCAATAGATAACATAAGTTCTTGGTGCCACTCTTGGAATATGCAGCTAAATGTACAGAAAACAGTTTTATTAAGTATCACTAGGAAAAAAGCCCCAATAATATTTAAGTACCTATCCAGCAGCGTTCCCATTCAAACAGTTGACAGTTACAAGTACCTTGGAATCACCTTTGCTGATAAGTTATCGTGGAATAAACATATTACAGAGATATGCTCGAAGACATTTAAGAAGTTGTGCTTCTTGCATAGAAGACTCCATCATGCTCCTCTTCAGGTACGCTTGCTTGCTGTAAACACCTTCGTGCGATTAAAATTAGAGTATGCATCACAAATTTGGGATCCAGTTACATTGGAAAATACTAATCAGCTCGAAGTGATTCGGCACAAGGCTATTAGATTCATTTTTAATATATATAAGCAATTTATAAGAATTGTCGTAGTGCCCTCATGATCAAAAACAACATATTTTTGTTACAATCCGGAAGAAAGTTTCATCGCATGAAGTTCCTACATAACATATTGGCTGGTGGCTCAAATGTAGGTGACTCATCATACCTTCGTCCTGTTAACACAAGACACACGACCTCATGCACTGAAAGCGAGTTTTGCTAAAACTAAGTCATTCCTATATAGCTTCTTTCCCAAAACAATAAAGGATTGGAACAGACTGCCAGATTCAGTAATTACGTCGCCCAACTTCGTCAAAGCTGTGGAAGAGCATATGTTTTGCTAGAATATTTGTTTCCTTAGTGCTGATGCTGCTTTATATTCTCTATGTATGAGCATTTTTAATTTTATGCTTCAATGTTTATATGCACAAATTATTTCTAAATTGTACCATTTTATGTATTAAGTCATCCTTGTATTTTATTGTTATATGTGTACTGCCCCTCCTGCTAGGACCAAGTTGGCCTGCAGTATTTTGAAATAAAAAATAAATAAAGCAAGCAGTAAAACAGCATGTTTTATGCACATTGAGCAGGTCGTATGTTTGAAGTTTCTGTGCGGTTTTGGTGTGTGACACAGTCAGTGGACCTCTTTGAACGTGTTTTGCAACTACTGTAAGGCTTTTCTCTTACATTTTCATGCTAATCTAACTCATGAGGGCGGGCTCTCAGTAGCCGCTGTTTTATAATCGTGAGCATTTTTGTGCTTACTCAATGAGTAAACTGTGTCTGCTCATCTCTCACACAAGATGAATTGCTAGAAAGGAATAGTTGCATAATACAAAACTAACTTTCTTGGCAGTGATATATTTTGAATCTAGGGCCCCACACTCAAAAGGCATGTCCCAACCACAGGGCTTGTGGGGTCTGTAAAGAGGCGCACCCTTGGAACACACTGACACAGTCGACACCATTGAGCAGAAGAACACATATCGGCTGCTTTTACAGCAGCGAGCTTGCCAGCCAAATCTGATAGCTGACCAGTAACACTAAATAACTAGATACCTAATGCCAACGCAATACATAGAAAACATAACATATGCAATGTACCACAAGTGCAGCTTTGCCAATGTCACTCACTTTGAGGGCCCGTGGATAGGACTCTTCGCGTCAGGCCAATGGGTCTCCCCAAGAGCGGACCGTCCACGCACATTGCCAAATCCTAAAAGAGCCTTGCTGCTTTTCCCTATGCACCATCCTGACTTCTGTCCCGCCAGATGACACTGCTGGTGCCACAGGGCTGATCTTGCACCACGGGTCTAGTGGCCGCGCTGTGAACTAAAGGAGGTGACGTTTGGTGACGTTGCAACTCACTGGAAAAATTGCCCATCGTCGCCCGCGTCTCTCCCAACTCCCACTACGCTCAACTCCCACTATGGTTCCCAAAACCATAGCGAGCAGCTACGGTAGTGAGAAATGCTCTATGCTGAAGTTGTGGAAGGGGGAGTGCAGAATGTGAAAGGAGAGGTGAAGAAAGAGAGAATTAGGAACATGTGCACCCTGCAAGCGCCTCTGAGAATGAGACGTCACGACTTGGGGTTGCTCTCACATGGCCACCATGCACCAACAATACACCAAAAATACGGAATTTAGCCCCGCCGCGGTGGTCTAGTGGCTAAGGTACTCGGCTGCTGACCCGCAGGTCGCGGGTTCGAATCCCGGCTGCGGCGGCTGCATTTCCGATGGAGGCGGAAATGTTGTAGGCCCGTGTGCTTAGATTTGGGTGCACGTTAAAGAACCCCAGGTGGTCGAAATTTCCGGAGCCCTCCACTACGGCGTCTCTCATAATCATATGGTGGTTTTGAGACGTTAAACCCCACAAATCAATCAATCAATCAAAATACGGAATTTAGATGCTTTCGTCTGTTCTTCCAATTTTTGCGCGGGATCCTTTCAAGCTTGCTGCAACTAATCCACGGGATGTGTGCACCATGAGGTGAGAACGACTTCACAGGGGGTGATAGTACGCAGACCGGCTAAGTACCAACACTTTCAGAACAAATGTTTGAGTCATAGATTTACATTGTTCCAGCATTACAAACAAATGCTAAAGGAAAACACTTTATATGAAGGCTTCTTAATTGTTTCGTGGTGGTAGAATAAAGGCCCCTCCAGGATAAGACTGACATGAAGGATCGTATGCATTCTGACTTTATTCATGAGGTTCACGATTGAAAGGCATAGAAGTGGCGACCCATGGCTCTAGGTTTTCAAAGCGACATTGTTTCCTTCGCAGAAAACAAGTTTGCGGTGGGTTCTGGTGCCAAGCTAGTGTCGGTGTGCTACTTTGAGGAAGACCACAACTGGTGGGTGAGCAAGCACATCAAGAAGCCCATCAAGTCAACTGTTACCTCGGTCGACTGGCACCCCAACAACTGCCTGCTGGCCTGTGGCTCCACGGACTTCCGCACCAGGTTGGCACTGCCTCAATAGATAGAAAAACAATACGGCGTGCAACAGCAGGCGAAGCGGGGGGGAGGGAGCGAGCAGAAGTGACCGAGGGGGATCGGCATAATAATAAAAAACGGAAGAGATCCAATGGGCAAAGAGGTACCAGGTGTAGGTTAACGGAACTGCCACGGACGAATGTGGGGGTGCGTTTATTAAGCGGGAGAAAAAAAAAATCCAAGTTTTGAAGAGTGAGGTTAAGGGTGCGTTTATTATGCGAGTGCGTTCATTACATGAGTAAATACAGTAGTTTATCCCTCGTGAACCAGTACACAAGTTACCATATCTCCACAAGATCAATGCAATAGAGCTTAGGTGAATGCTTGGATGCATGCAGTTGGTAACCATGCAGTTGGTAAAAAGTGGTAACCGTATGATGCATGCAAAGTGGCAACAGCCCAAGAAAAATGCGTATGCAAGGTTCGGGGTAAGTTATTCTAAAACTCTCTGGTTAGCTGTATTTTTGTCCATAATATATGTTCATCTGAAGATGGAGTGTGTGAATTCTGGGGAAAGGTGGGATGCTAGAGAAAACCTGCCGTTTTCATACTTTCGTTGATGTGCGTTTCTATGTGTGCAGGGTGTTCTCTGCGTACATCAAGGAGGTGGACAGTGCTCCCGAGCCAACACCCTGGGGGGACAAGACTGCCTCATTCGGGAGTCTAGTGGCCGAACTGTCTGCCAGTGGCAGTAAGTGTCGTCGATTACTGTGTGTGGTCACACTGAAATTGCAGTGTGGAAATTTTTAATACCATATTTACTTAAATTTATCACGCATCTTTTTCGAGATTTTCGCTACCTGAAGTCGACCATCACACTACTATCGAATACAGTCGATCCCGGGTATATCAAACTACGATATATAGAATTATTGGCTATATCGAACTGCTGAAAAATTTTATTGAATATCTTACGTAGAAGTATATTGCACATGTACATGTACGTATATTGAATACTCCTGCTCTGGCACGTTCGATATATTGAATGCTCTGGCGCGCTGGAGCCATGAGAAAAACCAAGATTCGGCTGCCTTGTGAAGAAGTCAAGGAGCCTCTTCGTGCGTGTGCATCGGAAATGTGTCCACATCCACGCACACAAAGATGCGATCCCCAATAGCATAGCCTTCGAGACCTTTCATCGATGTCTGGTGAAATATTGGCTACTTCCGATCTCAAAAGCCATACCTTTGCAAACTGTACGCTCTGGTTTTTCTTCTTGCCTTCTCTGTTTTCTCTTTTTTATTTTTAATCAATGTCGCGACTGCCCAAGTGCCATTGCCGTCACCGAGAGCATGTTTCGACAAAAGCAGCCACCCATTTTATGTTGCCATCGTAGCTTTTTTTTTTGCAGCGTGCTTCCATATTGTCCTCTAGCTGCTCCCACGTTTCTAAGTTGCGCTTGCTTTGCACAACCAGCATGGTCACGGTGTGTGCGGTATTTGTTGACACTAGTTGCCAGGGATGTGAAAAAGCGGAACTTGGACTTGACAACAAAAACCGACATCATTTGTGGGTGGGGACTGGTGAAAAAAAATTGTCGGTTGCAGAAGCATTCGACATTCCTTGGAGTACATTGAACACGATTCTGCAGAACAAAGTCGATGTGAGGGTGAAGCACTTGAAAGGACGTGACACAGCCATTTTCATACCTGCCAAGTCTTCCTGATTGTCTGGGAGACTTTTGGGTTTTGACCGTTTCTTTTGTTTGTACGGTTGTCAAGAAAATATCCCGTAAATCGAGTTTTTTTTGTGTGGTCTGGCTGTATTGACGAAAATGCCGGTCAGTTCACACCAGGCTTTTTGCGAACCCACCGCATTTTATCATAAACTAATTTAGGAGGCACTCATCTAAACATGCAGTAGTCTCAGTGATGCGAAACTGCGGCAGATATGAATCCGTAAAATTCCCCAGCCAAATTCTACTGGGTCCATTGAGCCGAAATTCGAATTTTCCGAACCATTTTCCAAAACGCGGCGTGTGATGTGAACTTCAGTACCGAAACTGTCGTACGAAGGCCGACCGAGAGCAGCATGCTTGAAGTTGAAATGTTGTAGGCCCGTGTGCTCAGATTTGGGTGCACGTTAAAGAACCCCAGGTGGTCGAAATTTCCGGAGCCCTCCACTACGACGTCTCTCATAATCATATGGTGGTTTTGGGACGTTAAACCCCACATAACAATCAGCATGCTTGAAGTTTCAGAAGTACGCGTGTGACCAGCGCACGCATTGTCTTCTACAGAGCATGTGGTTGTTGCCACAATCGCTGTGGAATAAATCGCGGTCTTTCTTGACATGATCAAGTATGGCAACGAAGTTACTAACAGTACTTGGAAAGCGTGCGTCCGACGCTCGACTAGTCAAAGCAACGCTTCTTTCCGCAAACTCTGTGAACAAGACCGCGGTAGATGCGATCATGCATGGCATAAAACGACTTAGTTTTAAAGGCACGTGCGCAGCCAGCGCTGATGGATATAAAACGGCCACAGGTGCGGCGGCGCGATAGCGATCTACGAGCTCCGAGGGCATGTGGCTAACGCAGCGATAGATTAAGGGCAGTAAAGTCGTAAAAAAAAGGGCTGGAAGCATATTGGTGTTCCTGTCCAAAGAGTCTAGTAGCGAGCAAAGCCAAAGCTTTGACACGCGCTTTCGCGGCAGCCAGTTGCGCCATCCCATCTGTTCACGTGTATCCCAGGAAGACATACGCGAGTTGTTTTGACGGAAATAAATTTTGCTAGTTGTTTTGATGGTGCGAAATTTCGGGAGTATTTGCGCTTTCTTTTGAGACTCTCACCTTAGTGTGTTCGGCCACTCCAAGCCATTATAAGACCGCAACGCCGATGTTGGCGCCTGCGATTTACCCCCCCCCCCCCCCCGACTGTTCTTGCGCGATGTCTTTTTTTTTTGGCGCAAAAAAAGAAAAAAAAAAGAATCCAGCGTGTCAATCCCCCCCCCCCCCCCCCCCCCCCTACGTTGCGGAAATATCCCGGATTCAGAATCCTTGAGCTTGGCAGGTATGTATTTCAATCATACAAATTAACTTCCACTTAACATGAACGTTCATAACAGCAGCAGGGCATCGCCAGTTGCATTTCGCGAGGCAACAAATTGTAACACGCACAGCTCAGTCGGTCACAAAAGCATCCTACGCAAACTCGGGTGCTATTATGTGATTGCAATGACACTTTGTCTGACTCTTCTGACAGGAGGCTGTTGCCTACGTGGTTTCGGTTTTCCCGTACGAGCAATTTTGGAACTTGATTTATTTGGAGAAAGACACGCAATGCATTCGTTTTTTTTTAAGTTCCCAATAAAGATTCAATCAGACATCCTCCAACTAAGTAATGTTGCCATTTTCAAAATAATTCAATCTACCTTCCTTGGTGAAGCACTGGGTCGTGCCGTGGGCTTATTCAGGCGGTCTGTACCCTTTTCTTTGGGGGGAGGGGGGGGTGGGGGGTCAAGGCTGAGCGTCACCTTCTATATCATTAGTTTTTCGATTATACGACACTTTTGGGTGGTCCCCTAAAGTAGAATAGTTGAGATTCCACTGTATGCCTACTAAACGTGTATACAGTCAACTCAACAATTCAAACTTGAGAGGACCCCAGTATTTTTTAATCATCAGATGTGCCAACGGATATGACCTGAGACAATGTACTAACTTGTGTTATGATTAAACATTCACATGTGCATACCTGCCATCCTGGGACTTTGAGATTTGGAGAATTTGAAAACTAGTGCGCGTTTTTTGTTTGTTGTTTTGTCGGGTGCTGCTGCAACTTTGTAGTCTGCCATCGTACCTGTAATTGTTGAAACCCAAGATTTTCTACAAAAGGCTCTTCCATAATAAGTCCAGCTCACTGTTTCTGCTCACAGTACATGTAGATAACTCGGGATGGAAAATAGTAAGCTTGAGTTGTGAAGAAAGTAGTGATTTAATCAAATAATTTCAAATTGAATAGTTTAAATGGTATCTATCACGTGTTATAAAAGGGGAATTTCTATCATAATCTAACTAACTTGCACAATGTTTTGAAGAATTGGATGAACAACATTCAATGGTTACTTTCTTGTTTTGAACTGCAAGCAAATTCGAAAAGTGGCAGGATTTGAATTTGTATAGAGCACAATTAAGTTATTAGTGATAAAGTATGTTTTGAAATTTGGCATACCTAGTGCATGTAAGTCCTCTTAACACACCTTTAAACTCAGAAAAAAGAAAGTGATTAATGTAGGTGCAGGTAATTTCTTTAACCTTGGAAGTATGACTTTGTGGCATTGTAGATTTGTCCTGGATAGGTACTTTCATGGCGTAGCAGGCCCACGCTGCAGTAAAATCACCCTTTCAGCTGCTTAGATTTGGCTGAAGATTTGTCCGTTCATATTGAATGCTTCGAAATTCGGGATAACTTACATTCATGTTGAAACGAAATCAAATTATGAGTGTAACATTTCTGAATGTTAGAAGTGTTCGCACATCCCCATCGATAAGTGCTGCGCCCTGACGTTCGGTGACACGCTCTTTTGCAGTCGGCTGGGTGCACTCGGTGTGTTTCTCGGGAGACGGCACCCGGCTGGCCTGGGTGGGCCACGACTCGAGCATATGTGTCGCGGATGCCCAACAGGGACAGGCGATCACTTTTGTGCGCACGCGGTACCTGCCGTTTCTGTCTTGCCTCTGGATATCCCCGACAAGGTTGCTGGTTTCTGTGAGTATTCTTTTGTCACCTCAGCTTGAGAACGAAGGCAGTGAACTGGGCTAGTTAGTACATTGTCAGAATAGGTAAAGATAGGCAGAAAACACAAGACACAGGTAAAAACTGGGCTAGACTAAACTGGACTGGACTAGCTGACACAACTAAGGGTGTGTGAATACTCGAATACAGCCGAGCCCGCTTATAACGAACCTGAGGCTGACGCGGCATTCATTCGCAGTATCCCGAAGTTCGTAGTAAATAAAACACAACTTTTTAAAAAGTTGCAAGTGAAAACACAAAATTTTTTGCCCAAAGAAGTCTGTGATGCACGTGTTTTGAAGAGCAGGAGCGATAAGGGCGGTCCCAAGTTTATTTCAAACAGCAGCATTGTCTTCGCCGAGGTCCATGGCATAGGCTGCATGAGGCACTGGGTCCAAAGTTTCGTCGTTCTCGCAATCCGATTCCTTCAATTGCTTTTGCCACGTACTTCACTATGCCCTAATCTGTTCACGGTTACACAGTGTCGGCATCATCATCGGCCGTAATGAAACCATCAGAACAGATGTCGACGACGTGCTGCCACAAATCGCCGCCGCTGTGGTCCTGTTCAGAAGCTTCAGGCTCGGCATCAGGCTCGACGTTGACAAAGTCGGCCTCGCCCCGCCGCGGTGGTCTAGTGGCTAAGGTACTCGGCTGCTGACCCGCAGGGCGCGGGTTCGAATCCCGGCTGCGGCGGCTGCATTTCTGATGGAGGCGGAAATGTTGTAGGCCCGTGTGCTCAGATTTGGATCCCAGGTGGTCTAAATTTCCGGAGCCCTCCACTACGGCGTCTCTCATAATCATATAGTGGTTTTGGGACGTTAAACCCCACATATCAATCAATCAATCAATCAAAGTCGGCCTCGCGAAAACAGTTTCGCGCGCAATAGTCGTCACCGCCGCCCACCAAATGTTTTCCGTCTCCACAGCTGAATACCGGGACGCTCGAAGCGGCAAGTTGGCTGCTAGGTGGTCAAGGGCACTGCAGCGCGGCACCTAATCCAAGCGGTCCTACTTTCGACGTTGTGTTCAGCGGCAGGAAAAAGCGTGCAAGACCTCTCGTCCGTCATCCTGACCACACACGCGCACACCAAGAGCGAGAAAGACGTGTGCACGCGAAACATATGCCAGAACGCGTGGTACAGCTCTGAGTCAGTTCGTAGTCGGAAAACGAAACTTCTGAATTCGAGCCAGCGTGGCTGGCGTCGCGGAGCGGCGGAGACAGGCTAAGGAGTCATTAGGAGAGCAGATTTGCGAGAAAAGGGCAAGGAGTTGCGATAGCGTGAGGAGAGGAGAGGATACAGCAGAAAGTCGACCTTGAAAACCAAAAGATGCGGGAAGGAGGCAGGTCAGGTAGCTTGCTTGAAAGGTCCGCGAAACGCGCAACTCGCGTGTAGAGAAGCTTGAGAGAGTGCCTGCGCACGCCGCAGTGTTCAATGCATTGGCGGCCGTGGTCAAAGAATCGTTTTGTTGCGCCAGCGGGTTTGCGTGGCCTCACTGACTTTGATATTACGCGATGTGTGCTGCGCTAATTACCGTATTTTCGCGCGTATAACCCGCACCAAAAACCCAAAAATTTCAGTGACAAAGTGAAGGTGCAAATAATACGCGGGGTTTTTCCTATAGTGCTGCTTCACAGCAATGCGTGTTGTGCTGTGAAGCCCCTTAACAGTGCAGCGAAGGCTACGGAGGCGGTTTCCGCAAATTCGTGTTGCTCCGCAAGTAGCACGACAGCTTGCGGCCGATTTTGGTTTCGCTTGCTTGCATCGTTGAAGCGTTTAGAAAAACATTTTGGGAGAGTGTCACACCACAAGTATATTTTTTGGACGTTCGCGGCCGCTCAGTGACCCTCCACATGTCCCTACGTCACGGACGCCATGTTTACTCTTGGAAAGGGCTTGCCGAAAAGGTGGTGCTGTCTAAGAAAGTTCCATAATAAATACTGTAAGTTCCATAATAAATAAAGCAGTATTTATTTCAGCAAGGCAAATGAGATGTTATAGTGCCTATAGAGATATTATCAGTAAATTAATGTACTACTTTTTGCCGCGGTAGCAGGCATGCATTTCGGTTCTGTTGTTTCTAGGGTGCTGTTACAGTGTACTAGAAGGGGTGGTGCTGTCAAGTTGTCGCCGAGTGTGAGCGCTGTTTACCTCGCTGATACCGCTAGTTCTCCACATATCGAGCCGTTCGCCAAGCCTAAGTCGATCTGTTCTGTCACCATGAGTAGCGTGCAGCGGCAGGCCTTCACGGCACAGCAAAAGCTTAAGATCATCGCCGTCACCGAGGAATTTGGAAATCGCGAAGCGAGAAGACAGCACGATGTGGTTGAGTCCTGCGTGCGACTGTGGAGAAAGAAGAAAGAGCGCCTACAAACCGCGCACCGCGACCGTAGGTCATTTCGTGGCTCCAAGACCGGTGCCTACCCTGAGCTGGAGGCGGAGCTAGTAAAGTTCATCAAAGATGTGGGAAGCAGGGGTCACGCCGTATCGACCGAGATGGTCCAAGTGGAAGCGCAGCGACTTTCGAGGGAGCTAGGCCTACCTCACGAGTTCCGTGCGAGCCGCGGATGGCTGCACCGCTTTATGGAGCGGCAAGGGCTCTCAATAAGACGGCGGACTACAATATGTCAACGCTTGCCGGCTTCTTATGAGGAGAAGCTGCTCAAGTACCAGAGATATGTAATTGGCCTGCGAAAGCAGCACAATTACATTTTCTTGCAAATCGGCATTGCGGATGAAACTCCTGTTTATTTTGAAATGCCGTTGGACACAACGATTGAGAAGACGGGCAGCAGTTCGGTGAGCGTGCTGACCGGCGGGAACACGAAACTGCGCATCAGTCTTGCTTTGTGCCCTCGCCGACGGCACGCAACTGCGACCGTACGTCATCTTGAAAAGAAAAACTCTACCAAAGGTTCATTTGCCTGTCGGTGTGGTGGTGCGCGCACACGAGAACACGTGGATGAACAGTGACTTGTTCGTAGACTGGATCAAGATGGTATGGGAGAAGAGGCCCGGTGCGATGCTCGCAAAGAGGTCCATGCTCGTTCTTGACTCGTTCCGCGGCCACACAACTGAGGAATTGAAGGACCGTCTTTCACACAACGGCACTGACTTAGTTGTTATATACGGTGGAATGACGTCAATGTTGCAGCCTCTAGATGTGTCGCTTAACAAGCCCTTCAAAGTTCATGTCAAGCGCTATTACGCCGAGTGGATGGCCGAAGGCTGCTACGACTTGACGCCGACAGGACGAGTCCGAAGGCCTGATATTGCCCTATTCTGCAAGTGGATTGTCGAGGCATGGAAGGCCATTCCAGGTGAGATGGTGCGAGAAAGTTTCAAGAAATGTTGCATCAAAAACAACATGGATGGAACCGAAGATGACCTTGTGCATAATAGTGAGGACTGCGGCTCAAGTGATAGCTCTAGCGAGAGCAGCGACAGTGAGTGAATTGTGACTGGCCTTGCAGACAGCGTATTCTGCTTGCTAAATAAAGCTTTTTCTGTCTACACATGTGCTATGTTGCTTGAGCAGTAGCTTTTGTACAGCCTTTCCTGTATATCAAATGTGCGGGCAATACGCGAGGATTTTTTTTTTCTTTCTCGGTGAGCTGAAAGTCGGGGTGCGGATTATATGCAGGGGCGGGTTATACGCACAAAAATACAGTAACATCCGTTTTTACGCCTCCGCAGGCGTGCGGAAGGCATGCCGAGTCGAATTATCGAATCGCGAATTATCAGGGTCGGTGGGGTAGCGCACTCGCGTGCACTAGAACGATACGTTAAAACAAGACGCAGTCGATCAGAGAGACCGTTGGTGGCCGACGATGTCGGCAAATGGTCTGGTCACTCCAGGCGGGTGATGCCAACGACAGTACCAGCGATCAAAAACGGGCGAGATGGCCGACCGATCTACAAAAGATCGGTAACAGTGTTAACAGGCACCCCTCCGTCCTTTGCCTCCCCCCTCCCCCCCCCCCCGCTTGTGCGGGGGGGCAAAAGACAAAGGGGTGCATAACAAAAAGCAATGGGGGAGAGCGGCAACTATAAGAGTGCAAAAGCAGGGTCGGCGTTGTTGCGCCTTTGGGTAGCGTGGTGCGGACTCGGGCCATCCGAGTCCCCGGAGAGGACGAGTAGAGAAGCCGGAGAAGGAGAAAAAAATGTTTATATACAGTATTTACATGGTAGCGTGGTACAACATGAAAAGAGAATCACACACGAGCGCCTCTGCGCTAGCGTTTTTATACATCGTCCGCCTTCCCAAGATCCCTTGCAAAGAAAATTTATGCGCAGGATACTCCAATGAGATCGTCGTCTTCCTCTCCGTCCCCGAAGAGGGAAAGCCAAACACCGCCTCCCTCTGAACCTAGGAAAGGGGGCAAGGCATGCCCAGTTCGCTGTTTGGTGAGGGAGACCCCACGCGCCAGCGTGGCACCACAGTGAGATGACGTGGAATCCCATGCGCAAAGTCGCTCCCTGATGCAGCCAGGTTGACTCAAGCAAGGCAGAATACCCCGTACAGCTGCTGGGTCGACGCTGCTTCGGAGTGTTGCTCTCGGCGGCTGACAAAAGCTTGGCCAACGACTTTTGTGTCAAGAGGAGCCGGCGACGTGGTTTTTCCCGATTGTCCGCGTCCGTCGCCGTCCCGGTGCAGGGTTGACTCATCAACAGCTGCCAGGTGCCAGCAGGCCGCGAAGACCACGTGGAACTTGGGCGAGGCACAACAGCACCCCCGCCGCCAGATGATACATCGGGAGGTCGAGTTGTTCCATGCAGCTCGGCCGGGTCGATGTCGGCGACGTTCCGGCAAGGCTCTTGCTTTCTCGAAGGGCCTGGTCAAACTGGAATGCTCCAAGAGCTGGCCTCTGCGCCCCGCTTCGGTGAAAAGTGGGTGACAAGCTCCAAGAAACGACCTTTGTCAGCCACACACAATGCGACAAGCACCGCGTGTACGCCACTCTCATCGCC